GCATTCACACCAGCACAGCGCACACGCCTCCTTGCTTCGAGCCCCCTTCAGAATGATTCATTAGGTCCCCACGGCGAGGATTCCCACAGACATTCACCGCTATCCCGGCGATTGGTAACGCTCGGCGCACCCTTTTGGGCACGAGATTCGACAATCACAAGACGGGTTCATCGAATGTCCAGGCCAGGATCCAGAGAGCCTGTGAATGGCTCTATTCTCACGCGCAAGGCCCACCATGCCATGGATGCCCTCCAGGCACTCCAATTGCAAGACTCGCATCCGGCAGCTGCCGGTTGTCCAGCGAAAGGCTCGAACACGCGACATGACGAGGCAGTCGAGGAAGCAGCCTGTCGAGCGCCCCAGTCCTAGAAGGTTTCGAGGACATGGCCTGGGCAACCTTTGGGGGCGATCGCGATCGGTGAAGAGTGCGTTACGAGCTCGTTGCAGGTCGCGGGATGCACGAGTGGCGGGGGTTCATCCGATAGATGGGCTCGGTTGCTGTACAGCCCAGTGACGACCAGGTTCCGGACGCACACGGCCAAGAAGTCAGCGGTTGCGGGAATTTCGAAAAAGGAAGGCCGGGCTCCTGTAATGCAAGTGGGCGGTAGGATTCTGCAGGTGCAGGCAGTGCAGCACTGGGGTAGGTTCGAGCTCCGGTTTGGTTGCGTTCAGGGCGACAAGCGAGTGCAAGAAGGTGAACTTTTCTGCCGCTGCAAATACTTGACTCCATGTCGGGTGTGCGTGGAATCTTGCACACTTGAGGTGCACCTTGGAAATTGCGCGGTTAGCCCGCGCGAACTTGGACGAGCATGGGCAGAGAAGAGGGAGAAGATCATAGGATAATTAGGAGTAGATAAGCTTGAATATCAATTTCGATAAAATTGGTGGTGCAGAAGCGCGGCAACATGCATAACACGGCCGTCCTAGCTCAGCTGGTAGAGCGCAAGGCTCTTAACCTTGTGGTCCAGGGTTCGAGCCCCTGGGGTGGCGCGTAATTCTAGTCAAGTGAATGAGCACGCGAAATCGTGCTATGCTATCGTCTGTTTTGCACACGAGACTGCACAACCTAATTTTGCATTAATATTAACATGTATAGGACTTCCCATCAAGGGCCAAGCAAGATGACCCTTTCATCTACATGAGTGCACAAAATACACTCATTGAGACTTGTTTTTATCTTCTTCCTGCATTCTTGTCTCCAAGGATGATTCATTTGCTTTCACAATATTAGGGTGATGACAATTTTTGGTAATAATGTAAGTAAACAAAGTAGTGTTCTACATGGGTTTGTTAAGTGGTTGAGGACCCTCCTTATTCTAGGTTCTTTTTGCCTTCTTCTACATTAGTGATTAGACTTTGTGCATATTTGATGTGTCCAAAATCACAAGTCACATCTAAGTTTTATGGATATGGATAATATTTGTTGGCATCATTGAAATCAAAATGATATTATCACCTCTACTGCTTTACACATAGTAGTGCTTCTAAAACAACTGCATTAAAAAAGAACATAAAACGATGAATTTGTGAAAAACAATGCACACAAGTCTTAGTTTAATATTCAGGTCAACAAAAGCTTTAAGAGAATAACTTTTCAGTAGATGTATTAAACATTTTTTAATTAATTTTGTAAAATGTGTTTGTAAGATATAACATGCCACATGTGCTTGTGCTTGTTTTCCAATCAGAATCATTTGAACACATGAAATGCAAAATAAGTTGTTTATTTTAGTTGCAAGTGGTTCAACTGTTACAATGCTTTCTATTTGTGATTTCCTTTTTGTTCAACTTCCTGCCAAAGACAGTGGGCATCAGGTGGTATTTCTCTGAACCCTCAGGTGGTAATGCTATGCCCAATTTGACAAATCTTGCCACAAATCTGATTCATTCAATCAGTTCCTGGTTCTGTTACACACAAGTTTTCTTGCCACTGGATTCAGCTCCTTGTAAAAGAAGATAGAAAAATGTGGTATTTCTGCAGACAATTAAAGCAAAGTGCACCTTCACCACCCTGATTATGTTTCTTAACTCATCAAAATCTGCTGCATTTTGGAGTGAACTTGAAACCACTTGATTAAACCTCAAAACCTTGAATTGGTGCATAGATGATGTTGAATCTGTGTGGTGTTATTTTGTTATGAATCTGCAATAGCCACAGAAAGCTCCTCCATCCCCATGAAACAAGCTGGGTCCAATCCCCACATCTGAACCCTGTAGGGTTAGGTTTTAAGCTCAAAATCCACTAATCAGCTCTTCCAATTCACATGACGGTGTAACACTTCATCCATGACAAGTATATTGTACATTGAATGTTGAAGACAAAACATACTTTAATTGATTTTTTTGTTAGAAAGTAATATTACGAAGTGCACTGATAAAATCACAAAGAACAATCACAGACATTTATGTAAGCTAAACAAGTAAACCAAATATAGTGTAACCCTGATTTTGTATTTTATTTTGTAATATTTTATTTATAACATAATTAAATCAATACAAGACTTAACACTCAGGTTACTAAAGAGAATTTCATGGAAAGATTTGCTATCCTGATTTAACGAAAAAAATTCAAGAACATTCTTTAAAAAAACAGGCGATCATGAAACAATACAACGTTGTACCAGAAGATCCAGTAGTCAACTTCGCATTTCATTCTTTACCTAAAAACTATTGCCATGTTCTCGGAACGTCAAATCCTCTCAACCCAACGTCGACATTCACTGGAAGTGTGCGTCATCATGACAGCTACACGATCACGGTGGGACTCGAACCCACAATCTCCCGCTCCGGAGGCGAGCGCCTTATCCATTAGGCCACGCGACCGATTTGCGATATCTGAAGTGTGAGATCTATACTAGATCATTACATGACGTTATATCTGTCGCAGTAAATTTGATGCATTGGAAGTACTATGGCACTCGCATGGTTCTTGGGACTTGGTACAAAGTCTTCAGCGATTGCTAAGTTTTTTGTTTTATTTTTTGAAGAGGACGCATTCTGCTTCAATGGAGCGGATGTGTGCGCAAGTATCGCGTCGATGACGCGTCGTCATGGCATTCTCCGGCATTTGTTCATGGTTTTATTTGGCAGATGAGTGACTTGTCGACTGCATGTTCCCATTTGTCTCCCCACGCACAGTCTCTAACGACGCGGAGAGCAAAGTTTGTGCGTGGGGCGTGAACGAACTCTTCGATTACTCGGGTTTGCGGTTTGTTCCGTTACCAGGATATTCCTTAAATGTATATTTATGAAAACTGTGAAGGCATTTTTTTTTCTGGATTAGATCCTTGGCGTTTGTACATAACATTCCGCTACAGAATTCGGACTTGATCTTTATCTGTAGTCTCTTGAGGTTAATCCAAATGAAATTGAATAGAAAGTTGGAGATTATTAGCCTCTTGCGGAATTCAACTTCATGATACTCTGTTTTTTGGAGGCACTGAAGTCCACCTCGAGATGAAGGTTTCGATTTCGATTGAAGGATGTGAAGGGACAAAAATTCTCATTTGTAAATGCATGTAGAAGGAAAGCTATTCATTGCTTTGATTCGTATGCAGAGCTACAGCGTTGTAGGTAAGGACGTGTTGACACCTAAGGATGATGAAGGAATTCGGGGAGAGAATTTTCTCTTTGTGCCAGTAGATGTTGATAGATGCACTCGAGCGTAGCGCATAGTTCGAGAATCGGTTCAACTTTTTTGGCAGTAAGATTCTGATGCTCATCAATAATTTCGGTATGAAGCTAGTGGTTTGTAGCTTGTCCCGATTGGTGATCCGAGTCACTTGAACATGATATAGCCGGGTTCAGCATTATAGAACAAGGCTGATTGGATCATTTAACATTGTCTTCCTAGACTGCCGTACTGAAGTATTACCAGTCCGAACCATATTGACCTTGATCCAATTAGTTGATGATGAGTGTTTCACCCCGAAATATATAGGAATATGGCTCCGTGTGGTCGGGACTAAATTGTTAAGTACAGCCATTACATTCGCCTGTGATGAGTATCTGCGAACAAAACCTCCCCGCGGTGTAGAGTTCGATCCATTGGAGTTCCCGGACTTCATTTGTAGCAACTATTTGTATTTATTATTTGTCGCAACTCACCGTGTCTTACATGCTGGCTGGAAACTCCAACATTACTCACATGTGTCACACCCGGGCGCACCAGAATGTGCTAGACATGGCAGACTACAGTGCTTCGAAAGCTGGTCTTTGTGGTCCAACGTGTTCGCAGGTTAACGCTCTACTCGTAGATCACAGTAACTGGTTTCTGGAGTCTAGTCTGCTATTCCAGAATGGTGGACTCCAATTCTCTCATTTATAATTTTCATGTGCATTCTTAGTTTAATCTGGGCAAGTATTTTCTTCTTTTTGCAAGACTCAACCGTATGGACCCCACCTATATTTATTCAGTTTCATTTACAGTTCTCTCCGTTATTTTCTTGCAAGCAATCACTTATGCAGGCAAAGTAAAAGGTGAATTCATTGTTGCCAGAGTGGATCAACACAGATGAAAGCGGTGAGGCAGCACTACAACCCGAAGGTCATGGATGGCATCGTGTTGAACGCGTAGGAGTTCTTTAAGATATTCTTGGGTGATGGGAAACGTACCGGATTAACCACACGTCAAGAATTTGTTTTAGTTAGAGACACTGAGAAGATGGCATATCCTATAGAGCTGGGATTTGGGGTAATCTTTTGCTATGTGCTTTACCGACATGTGTTACATTAACCAATAATTGTTAAGTAAATTTTGGAAAAGATGTTCCACAAAATATTTTGTTACCGAACCACTCTGAAATTTTTAAGATGGAACAAGAAAACGAGAGTCAAGGAGACCTAGCGCTATCGCTACGGCCGCATCCACAATGCGACATGAAGAAAGCTTGATAGTTGTATGCTTCAGTAGATATTTATGGTGAGACAAAAGAATTGTTAGGGTACCTTCCCTGCTTTTCTCTGGCTTGGCTCAAGCTTTGTCGAGTTCTCTGTTAATATCAAATAATAACTACCCGACAACGCAGGCGATGCATTCATGCTTTGTAATTTTTTCGTCAATTCAACGAATCTCAACAGGTTCGGTAAGACATTCACCAAACAAGTTATGATCGATAGCTGTTTTTACATGGTTGGTCATGCGGGGGAATTCCGCCATTTCAAATTGCTCTGGACTCTCCGACACGTACATCAAAAAATATGTTACACTACCTCCTCCGAAAAATCTTTTGCCACCGCAACGGGTGAAATTTCTCATTTCTACTTCCTCATCATGCCTATACAACTCCACCAAAACCTCTATACATAGTAAAACATGCCCACCTCGATGAGACTGGTATGGGGAATGTTGAGAACAACAGCTGGGTCCCGACTATTCTTCCGCAAAAATGTGTACATGTAATCTATGGCACACTTCTTCAGAAAGTTCGACGATTTCTTAGCTTTCACGTATGAGTGGCTCATCATATATGCAAGACCAGCCTCCCTTGCTTTTGCAAGAACCGAGAGCTCCTTCCGAACATCTGTGCTGTGGTGCGCCTCGCTCATGGGAATATCAAAGTGCACCCGCCTCTTGTGGATCGGCCTAGGGGATGATGATAACCACTCCTGTAACTGCAAACTGCAATTCGTTAGAAGGCAAGCATTGCTCAACATGGTGGCTCAAAAGGCCAGAAACCTAAGAGATGCCTGCCCCCTTCCCCCCAAAAAAAGGTACATCTAAATTACCTGCAAGGAATCTCCGTTATTTGAGATGACACTGGATTTGATGCTTTCCTCTCTTCTGTCTGAGAGGCTGTTGAAAAGCAACCCAGGGGTGGTGCCCATGACGGCCAAGTGTCGGTCCCCTTCGAAGGAGTGCTCATTGCTGGACGTAGCCTCCTCACGCTGAATAAACTCGGCGAGATTGGCTATCAACTGATTCTCAAAGTCGTCCTCGTCTCTGCGCACGTCTTTATAACCGTAACGTACAATACATCTGCAGTCCCGGCGCATCGATTGTCAGCAAATTTGGAATGCAGAAAGTTTTGTTTGCTACTACGTCTATTTCTGCATCCTGTTGAGTGACACAAAAGAAGATCGAAAGAGAAGAAACCAACCTGTACATATGGTAATTCTTTGGGCCAATACGGCCAATCAAGTAGCGTTCGTGCTGAGAAACATACGGCACTGGTGCAGATTTCATACAAACAAAAACTAGCACTTCGTGGAAGGCCGGCAAGTTGGTGACGAAGTGGGAGAAGATGGCCGGGACCCCACTCACAAGGTCGGTGTAGATCAATCCTATCCCGGGGACACGAACAATTCCCAGGCTTGGGCCGAGATTTAATAGCCACTTCATTGACACCTTGTTCTGGAAGTCGTATTCGTACTTCTTTGTGGTGCCGTAATGCCACACGTACATGATGGACATGAAAACTCCGGCGAGCACAAGAGGAACCCAGCCTCCCTTGGGGACTTTAAAGAAGGCGGTAGAGAGATAAAGGAGCTCAATACAGCCGAACACGGCAAAGAAGCACAAGGCCCAGAATATGCTGCATTGCCACACTGTTATTATGACTAGTGTCATCAGAAATGTGGTCACTAGCATCACTATGATCACAGCAATCCCTGCAGTCAGCCAACACAAAGCCCAAATATAGATTAGTTGCATAGTGAGTATTTACACCAACACTTTCGAGAGTAAAAGACTCCCAAAAACCTGAAACTGTGAAATAACCACAGAACATTTCTTTTGAATGTCACAACGAGCACTGCGGCAGGGGAGGCTGTACCGTAGGCGTTCCCAATGTCAATGGTGTTCTGGAAAGAAATAGTGAGAGTCAGACATAGGATGAACATGATCCAGTTTATCTCTGGTATGTAGACTTGTCCATAAACTTGGTTAGAGGTGTGAACCACTTTGACGCGAGGGAAGCAACCCAGTGCCATGCACTGATTTATAATGGAAAATGTTGCGGATATGACTGCTTGGCTTCCTACGATTGAGGCTAATGTGGCAACTACAAACACTGGCCAGAAGACAGGTCCTGCATGAAAAACGAAAGGGCAAGTCCAATGTACGTCAGTTTATTGGAACAAACGGGGAAATGAAAGAAATTTGAGTGTTATGGAAGGTAGCATAATGAGGTCTATTGAATAATCCACTGCTATGGAGGAACTAAATCCATGGAATAAGAAACTAACTTGGAACGGACTTGAAGAATGCATGATCGACTTCGTTAAGATGCTTGGAGAGATAGGCAGCTTGCCCTATGTATCCAATCAACAAAGACGGGTACACAACTCCCACAAACGCGAGCTGCAAAGAAATCCCACAAATTTACTGCTTAATGAAGTTCACGCCATTGCCCTAAACCTAACGAAATAAAATGAATGCCTGCGCTTGTTTTTATTTCGTCAGCTGAGCAACAGAGTCCTTCGCAATCTCAACGTGGAATATTGAAGAAGCTCTTATCGGTGATCGTGATCTGAGCTACAAATCTCAAGGTAGACATATGGTAGAGAATTTCACCTTGACAGATTTGCGGGAAAAGTGACCTAAGTCTGCGTACATTGCCTCGGCTCCTAGTCACAAGAGTTTATAAAATGGTCATCAGTAGGATTCTGCAAGAATATGAGTGAAACAAATTGAGAAATCCACTAGAAAGAGGAGAGGAAAACATTGTGGAAAACAATGACAGACCTGTGATACAGAGGAGTACACCCCCAAGAGCAATCCAGCCCTCCTTTCCATCCATCTTGAAAAAGTAGTACATGTAATATGGAGAAAGGGCTTTTAGTATACTTGGATTCCAAGTGATCAAATTGTACATGCCAATGCTCGCGTTGCAGAGAAGCCACGCAAGTATAATGGGCGCGAACAAACGTGACACACGACGTGTACCCATGTGCTGAAGTCCGAAAAGGAGGACCAAAATACAGCAAGCGACTGCCACCGTCACATCTGCAAGCTCGGATTCCCAATTTACTGATGAATTAGCAGAGATCATGCACTTGATACTAATTTCATGCTCTCTTCATCATATCCTATGTACCACTACAACAACAACAATCATAACGAGAATAACATCGTCTCCGGTGAGAAATTAAAACTCTGGTGGTGAATTACGACAAATCAATTGGAATTTCAAGGTTTCTTTTTTTCCTTTTTTAAACGAGAATCTAGTTATAGAGCAGAGAAAACTTGCACTCACTCTCGTGGAGGTGGGGGGCAGCGACCCGAATGCCCGATATCGCCGATAAGACTGATTCATTAAACCAACAACAAAAGGGAATCCAATCACAACGTCAGATTTTGTGGTCGTTTCATTGCTTAGATTACTCAAACGACATAGCAGCTCTGAACAGATTTTAAAGTCGAGACCTACAGATGGAAATCGGTTCCGACTTTGAGGTACTTCGGGTATTCATCAGGAATCTGCAAATCGCTACTGCTTATTGGCACTGCGCAAGAAAGAATATTGGACGTCTAAGGCAGATTAGATGCCCGGAGAACAGGATGAACGATGTGAAGATAATGATGACTGCAATTTCTACCTGAAAGAGCAGGGGTGAGAGCGCCATCTCCAATGACCATGCAAGTTCCCAGCAACACGACAATGAGGAGTCCATTTTGCAGGAACTTATGCTTCTCAAGCAGGTGCCTGAACCAAACCCCTCTTGGTGACGTAGTAGGTTGTTCCAACTTATACGACGAAAGCTCTTCATCAGCTGCTTGCTGGTTCAAAATTAGGCTGAGCTTCAAATGCCGGCACAGTAAAGCATAAAGCGCAAAGGTCCCTCCTGCTCGACATTACATCAAACTTGTCAGTACCATACCCCTGAAGTAAAAGAATCAAAACCATAAACCCTGCTGTAGTTCAACTATCATCAACAGGATTTTCATTACACGGTACAAAAAAATTTGCGGTTGAGCGAGAGGAATAAAGAGAAAGCTGCGGCACCTTCCCCATTGTCATGGGCACTAAGAACAATAAAAGAATATTTGATAACCGGTATCAGGGTGAGCGTCCAAAAGATGAAACACAGTACGCCCATGATCTCGCGCTCTTCGACATCATTCCGCAGAGTGTCTCCGAATGTAGCGCGAAAAACGTAAAGAGGGGAGACACTGAGGTCTCCATATACCACCCCAAAGCTTTGATATGCAAGAGTCAGAAGCACTGCAATAGAAGCTCTCTCAGTGTACTGCATCACCGATCGCCACTACTCGCCATTCAGTGCACTTTTCAAATTAGAAGAGAAGAAACTAACAAACAAATAAAATAAAATAAAAAATAAAAAATAAATAACTTCAGAGCTGTATCCATCGAAGTCTGATTCCGTCAGGGAAAATTTTATATAGGGAACTCAAAATTTTTCAATTGGAATGTGAAGCTTCAGTATCTGAAACACCGAGCCCTTTCTTACAAGTGTGTATTTTAAATCTTCAAACGTGAGTTTTCAAACGCGACTTATGAAGTAAGTTTCCGTCAACAGATGAAAGGAAACAATAAATAAACAAATAAAATCATAATTTACGACGAGTATCTTTCTGGAGAGTCGATCTAAACCCAAGCCTTAAAAGAGAGATACATGTTATCCATCCTTTCAGACTTTGAAGTTACACTCGCTAAGTCTTTTCGGAGTCGATCTGGAATATTCGAAACGATTTAAAGTGTCAAACCTCATTCAAAAATCAAGTTTGGGACAGAACCCACTTGACATCACCAACTGCATGACTTCCGAAAGGACTGGAAACTGTTCGTTGAGTCCTCTCGAACGCACCGCACGACTCTATCGATTAGTAGCTCTGGATACAACACTGAATTTGCAAACTCACAGCGACACTAACAGAAACGCCACAGAAGCTATAGCTAGAACAAGCATCTCCAAAGGGGAGGAGCATCAAACCTCGAATCTTCCAATCGAGCTTTGCTGAGAGCTTGCACGCTCCGGGTCCATGATCAAAACACTTGACGAAAAGAATTTGTGACAGCACTTCGAAGCTCAAAAACGCGCTTCTAAGACAAGCGCGCCCACATCCTGGCTCAGATGCCTGTTCGGTCCACACGAACATGAAACAAACCGCGGGGAGGAACCACTCTAATCCTCTGCATGTCCTCAATCGTCGCCAAAATTCCACACCATGCTACTACACATTGTGCCACCCCTCGCTCAGCTCCCTTTCTCACTCTCCTCTCACCTAACCTCAGCTGCGATTTCCCGGAATAACAACCCAACTCTCGCTAATCCACAAGCCTCACAACCTCACGTTGTTCTCTTCCATACCCACTCAGAACATGGCTTCCTCATCAAAAATCACTCTCCCCCATTTCGCATCAAAAAAAAATCCTCATCAGTGGCTAGCATCTGCACACGGCTCGTTCACAGCATGGCCAAATACTCCCCCCTCTCTCTCTCTCTCTCTCCCTCCCGCCCTACCCACCTCTCTTCACTTCCACCCAACACTATCTTGTCGGTGACCGGACATTTCCTCGGATTACACCACCAAATTACGTTGTTTATGATTGAGACAAGTGAAAAAAGCGAGGAGCAGATAAACAAACTCGTCGAACTAGCAGGGCTGAGCAGGAGGAGGGGCATGAGAGAGAGACCCTAAAGTAGACTGATTCGAAGCTAGATCTTGGACAGAAATGATGAGCGCGCGGGCGTGGGCGTGAACGAGAGAGAGACAGAGAGAGAGTCAGTGAACGAGTTAGTGAGTTGAGTGAGTGAGTGAGCTCCCACGCGGACAAGCGTGATCAATGAGCAGCAGCAGCTGGGGCCGACGAGACCTGCAGCGTGCAACACGCTGATCCCTCAAATAGAACACACTCCCTTGCGCTGGCTGGCTGGCTCCGTTGCTGCGTACCCCGCGGGGAGGGGCTCAACAACGTCTTGGAAACCACGACCTCCTCCTCGACGGTGCGGCGATGACGGCGACTCCCAGCGCGTTCTGTCGCCGTCGCATACATCCTCTGCGCCGCACACCACCGTCGCCCCTCCCCTCTCCGTTATATCCTCGGTGGATTTCGTCCCGTTTCGTCGTGATGTTGACAGGGGTGGACGAGTATTGTCTTTTTCGTCGTGATATGGACGGATGTGGACGATTTTCGGTACCCTGCTCATGCCAGGCGAGCCTGCCATGAGTTTACCGCCGTGCTCTTCCTCCCTAAAGCTCGCCGAATGGGATGTATGAATTGATGAATGGATGGATGTCTTTTCGCGGTTTGCGTTTTGGATGGATGAATAATTAATATTGAATAATTTAGTGTTTTTTTTTTCATTGTTTTCTATTATTGAACATATGTGTAATTTCTTGAAAGATTGTCCATTGACTCGTTTCATTTGGGGAATTTTAGGTTGATTTAATAAAAATTTGGGTCACTTTATCATTCCCTCCTATATATAAAAATTGTTCTTGTTCCTAGTTGTTCCAAATTGTTGCCCTTGTTGTGAATGTTCTCATTCCCTCACCCAGTCCTTAGCAATGGTTGGGAATAGTGAACAGCTGGGAACAAGAATGGGGACTTCAAGGATGCAATGATGGTTAAGATAAAGTGGGTTGATTTATCATTCCAATATATATATATATATATATATATATATGTAAATGGTTCTTTAAATATTAAAGTAATACTAATATGATAATCCAATTAGAATTTTGAGATACATATTTAATGGGTATATTAATATTTATATTAGTGTTAGAATGAATATTAACATGATAATCCATATCATATTTAAAATGAATATGTTTTATGGTTCTTTTAATATTTGTATTACTTTTAAAATAACACCAACATAATAGCCCAAATCAAATTTGAAAAAGTTTGCTGAACTTTTCCACGTGAACTTTTCCACGTGGCGAAGCTTCACAGCTTTCTCGAGAGAGAGACTGAGTCGTTTCTCTACCCACGTGTCACACTCCTCCTCGCCCAAACTTGGAGGGAAAATCACACGTGGATTTTGACAACAGAGAGAGCGTAATCAAACTCCTCTTCCTTTACTTCATCCCCCAAAAAGTAAAAAGTTCGAGTCATGCATTCAAACCCTTGTCCACCCCAGTCGTCTTTTGGTCCAATACTTTTACCCACAAACTTTTATTTGTCAAGTGGTGAGCTTTCATGCCACAATATTATCATGCCCCACAAAACCCAAAAAGAATAACAAAATAGAATAAAATAAAAAGAATGAATAAAATAAAATAAAATAAAATAAAATTTGCACTTTTTTTTCGAAAGTGAATGAAAGTTCCGGCAAAAGATATTGGAGTGTATTTGTGTGGCATTTTCGTAGAGGTGGCTTCATTGCAACAAACTTTAGTATATAGATAATGATAAAAGAAAATAAACAAATAAATAAGATAAACTAATGAAAAACACACAAATGCTTTACTCAAGCAAGCAAACATGTCAACCAACTACAACAAAGTCACATAAGAAGTGCTTTACTCTTTGTGTCTCTTTTTATCATAAAATCAACCATTTGCATGCCCTACTTTTTTCCCTATGATCCAACATTTCTAACAAGTTATCTCACCAATCATTGAATTCACGAATGAACTATCTAACCATTTATGTCATTGTTATAATAAGTATAAACATTATCATTAATAAAAATATTTTTATTTTATTTTAAGGTTTGGGCTAATTATAGAGTGAAATCTTTTATGTGAAGTCTAGGAAATTATCATAATAAAAAAAAAAACATTGTGGGAATTGTTTAGTAGTTAAGAAGTGTTCAAGAACTTTAAAAGACGCGGAGGCAATTAATAACTATGCATTTACTAATTTATTGCGGAAATTTGTGAAATTAATGTTTGATTTCTCCATAAGAGTCAGACACAACATGTGAAATTAATTGAGGGTTTCTCTAATTTATGATTTTTTTTTTTGGAAAGAACATCTTTAGACACTATTCTTTCCCATTTATATAGATATATATATATATATATAACTAGCACGCATAATTTGAAGTGCTGTATTATTAATTTTTTCAAATATATATGTATATATATTATTAATTGGATAAGGTTGTTTTATAAAGTACTTTTTTTGTATTTGTGCATTACAAGACAGAAATAATTGGAGCATGTGGAGGATTGTTGATTTTCACCTTTCTTATTTAAATTCATGAAGAAGTGTTTCATTTCAAATTTTTATCAGGAGATTTATACATCACTCAAGAAAAAGTTTATTAAATTTGGATGATTGATTACACAAAGCTTCAAACAAAAGACGTAGGCAATTCAGTAATCTCCCATTTACACCAAATATTGAGCATTTGAATCCAAAGGTGGTCAAAGCCAAAAAATACAAAATACAAAATAAAACAACAGGTAATTTCTATAATTTGCAACAACAATTTATGCTATATTACTGCAACCTTCAACACACGCTATTGTATTTATGTATGTATATAGGTGCATGTTTATTAATATGACTTTTTTTCTATTTTCTCTTTTAATCAAAAAGACTTTCAAACAATGTAGTAAATACTATATTTGATGATAAAATGGTGTTTGTGTGTATACATATTTATGTACCAATAGGAGTGAGACGTTTCCATCCGCAACAATGGTTGCATGATATAAATGCTCAAAACAAATGTTCATGTGAGACGAAGTGGATGGATCTCCTCACCACAGGAACTGAGACAAAATGGGGTCTGTTTACTCCACAAAACCCTAACCCTAACCCTAATCTCACTCCCCTCCCTTGCTCTCACTCCAGCTCTCCTTTTGCTTCTGTTTTGTAGAACATGGTCCATCTCTCATCTATTGGGGTCTAATCTGAAACTCAACATCCCACGCTGCCTTTACCTTTTTTTCCCACAAAAGTAGTGCTTGATGTTGATGTTGATAACACCCAAAAGCTTTGCCTGTCCCTTAGTCTAATGGAATCCTTCAAAGGGGATTTTATTGTTTATGTATATACAATTGTACATATATGTAAGTAATTGATATTGTTAATAAACCTGAATTGAACACTGTACTTGGAGAAAATAATCACGTATGCAATTTTGAGCTCCATTTGGACAGAAATATTCAATTCCAAGATAGTTTCAAGCATTACAGTAAATTTTATTGATTTATTTTCCTGCATTTGTATGTGCACACATGTGAATGAAATCCTTTAAAGCCACACCATGCTCACAATAAGTTACATAACTTCCTTTGGAGATGCAAAATTTTGATAGGATAGATAGATAGGGGAATGTTAAATAGACCAATAGTTTGACTAAATAGACCCACCTTTGATGAAGAATATGGTAATTACAACAAATGTGGTTGGTTTTTATTAGTTGCAGATCCGATAATGGGGAAATGAATCATTGTTTTTTTTCATGAAGGATAGGATGGGTGGGTCAATTTTGTAAAAAATTGGGTCTATTTTATATATATATATATATATATAACACATGTTTGAAAGAAATAAGAAAATGGATTGTTGATAGTTATGTGAAATCATCATTAAACCATCCTACTTAATTTGTAACTTATTTCAATGCTTATCCAATGTTAATATCTAATAATTCCATTTTTTAAAAATCACTTTACAAAATGGTTTTCAGATTCTATTTTTATTCCAATATTTTATACAGATTTTTTATTAACTATTAATGAAAAATCCTTTAAATCATAAACACACACACACACACACATATATATATATATATATATATATATATATTAGTATGCAAGATGTAATAGCATGTTGTTACATTTACCTAAGTAAACCACTTGATTTTGATATTGATTTTGTTTAATTTTTCTATTGATTTCCTTCATAAATATTTGTAAATCTTCATTCAAAATACGCACATATTAATTTTAAACATAATTTTAAAACATAGTCAATCTTCCATATATATATATATATATATATATATCAAAAATCATCATTTGCTTCAATGCTGGTTTTTCAACAATGACTTGAAAAATCATTACCTGTTTTAATAATTGAAAATTGAATAATTAGGTGTATTAGAACCCACTTCAAATTGCATTTAATTTTTTTCGTAAACTTTTGTATAAAATTGAGCATTGAACGAGGTGGTTGCTCTGATTACACAAAAATAGAGCTTGCCTACTTTTTGCACGTACGATGATCATTTAATTACAAAAATTAAGAAACAAAACAGAATAGAGGTCAACTACCACAATCAACACTGCGAACACGTGCATTGGTATCAATCTAGATAACTCCATTCCAAAGATAAAACCATTTCCAATAAGATTTAAGAAAAAATTTCCTGAGAATATTTCTAGCTGTGCACAACTCCAGTTCAAAATGTTTGACGAACCACAACTTGGTGCCTCAGACTTGGGGGTAAATGAGTAGGGACTCGGGACGAAATAAGAAATAGCTCTAGAATAAGTGGATCATGCATGAATTTAACAACAGCATACTGTGTAATTCAGAAGCATTTCTTCACAGTTATGGCCAGGTCTCTGGTGTGATAGCTAAGTTGAGCTTAGAGCACACAAATGTATTATTAACCACTTCATTGCTCCTAGTGGCTCAATCTCCGAAGACACAAGATTCCATGACCTTTACACAAGAACGTAGGTAAAAATTTCATGAAGTTCTGAAGCTTTGGAATAAATATTCCATGCTTCACAAACAAACATGTAGCAACAGCTAGGAATAAAAGAAGATTGATCACCACGTTTAACACTTGGAACATATCTCCAAGAGACAAAAAGTATCACTGGCAGGTTAACTTATTCAATAAACCCAGTACTGCTGTTTTATACCTCCTGAACCATCTCTGGTTCACATGTGACGGAGAGTGGCTCTCACAACATATGACTCAATAAATTCACCTGGTATAGTCTAGCATGACGAGCATGGATACAAATTGAGCTGTTTGCATAAGACTCATTGCTTTAGAACAGATACAAAAAGGGCATAGGATGTGCTCACATAAGCAGGCTAGACTTAAAAAATTGCTAATATATGGTTGTGTTAGCAAGCATAACAGGCTTAAATCTTTCACCACGCTTCAAACGCTTAGTGAGTTTAGAACGATACTCAGCTATTGGGAAAAGGTATCCTCCCATCTCGCACCCTGTTAAGCCTGCAAACATTTGAGCACCTCGTTAACATACACACACACACACAGATATATATATATATATATATATATATATATATATATATATATATATATATATATATATTTTCTGCAATATGGAAATTTTATTTACAAGTATACATGCAGTATCGTTCGTCTGTTTACGATCATGTAATCCGATTCCTCTGATATCAAGATTAATCTCTCAAGGAGTCGAAAGGTTTGGGAGGACAGGAGAGAAGCCCTGAGAAAAAATCTGAAACCAGAGGGACTCAGGTTGGCAGAACACATGTTAAACATCTAAGGAAGCAACATCTGAACGATTTCAAAGAAGAAAAGAGGTGAGAAGGCCATACAAGGGTTCAAAACACCACATCGCTCACCTCCAGTGACTTTGCAAACCGTGAGATGCTCCACCTTCTTCAATGCCTAAGACGTACCCTGTCTGGGACCTTAGCAGACTCATTTTGTTAATATTTCTGTCTTGATGCATGGCAAATTATGCTCTGCTGTCATTAAAAACATTCGTTAAAACCTGCTTTCAGTTTGCCTGGTAAAACCGATGGTGAAAAGCATGAGGTTTGAGACAGACCACATGATTGACATACCAAACTTGCCCCTACACCTAATCCAATTCTGGAAAAAAGGAGCGACTACCTTCGTCTAAAGCAGTGAAAGCTGGTGAATAGGAACAAATAGCAGATTGAATGCTGGAGAGCTTCTGTCGAATTCCCAGCATGCCATGCCGTCTGCTAGTCCACGCATTAAAATCCCTGCAAAAAACAGAAAGAAAGAAAAAAGTAGACTGAGGGTAATGCCACACCACTATTTAAGCTCTGCACGAAGTTTTATTTAATGTAAAACGGATCTCACCATGCAACTCTCTTGGGGTCCCACCGTGCAAACTACTGCATTACTTGATTCAGCTCACCAACTAATAACGAACCGAGAGTATACACAAGCCTGTATTGAAACTGGAAAGATTAACCACTACCCGTAACATATGCTACCAAATCCTCCAGAGAAAAATAAAAATAAAAAAACAAACAAAACAAAACAAGAAACAATAAAGAAACTAATCAATAAGAACCAACCATCCCCCCCTACGAACCGTAACCTTTACTTCCGCTACAGTACTGTTGAAATCCTCCAGTATAATTCTGAATTCGGACATTATTGCCAGTTCGGAATTGCGACAATCAACACACCAAAAGAACAAAAACTACTTGCAATTTAACAATGTTTACAATTAATTCATGCAGGAAAATGATATATATACCAGACCAAGATGCCATGATGAACTTCTGTGGAGATCAATCAAAACTCCGTTGTGATATTATTTCTGGCGCAGCAGTTCCGGGAAGTTTCATGTGCCTCCGTTGAGACAGGTGCCATGCTGGTTACTTCCAAACGAGCTCGCAGCTTCCGCAGTTCTTCGCCCCTTCGCAGCTTGAAGTATTCTCGGGCCTCCTCAGAAACGAGCTGCTCCTCCGGAACAGTGAACAGCGCCATCACGTTCTGTTCCTCGAGGATGGCGATTTTCATCCTCGTCGCTGCGGCCATGTCTGCTGTCGCCCGCGCTTGGGCCTTGATAGCATTTATCATCTCTACCTCGCTCTTGCGCTTCATGGGCAGGGGCTTCTTCAACACGTCATCGCGTATTTCCTCGCGCATGGCGTCTATCATCTCTACCTCACCCTTGTCGAGATCAGTGGAGGCACCAGGATTTTTGCGTTTCACGGGCGGCGTCTTCCTCACATCCTCGCGCGCGTCTTTCCATCGAGGAGCGTCTTTCAAAACAAGCCAGCAGTGTATAAATGTGAAAGACTGATTACTGGGGTGCCTCGACCTGTACAACTCGAGAGCCTTCTGAAGCATTTCCTCTGAAGATGTTCCTGACTCAGCCTCTGCGCGCACAGCCCCATAATTCTCAATGAATTTCGCCACATCATGCTTAATCATCCCCCATTTCGTCTCCAACGACCTCGCGGGTCTCTCGCCACAGCCCTGGGGTCGATTGCAATTGTAATGAACCTGCACCCTATGCCAGAAACTACCCGCTTTCTGCTTGTTCTCTACTCCAGAGTCTTGTAAGACATGAAGATACGATCGGCACAGTTGAGTCTCTTCTGCCGCAACGTATAACATCCCCTTCCTGTTCCTCGTCGCCGTTGAAGCAGCCTCAGCCTCAACAACTCCAGCTCCTCCGTCCACACTAACCAAAGCCATGGATCCCCCTAACTGAAACCCTAACCACCCCCTGTACCGCTAAACTGTCCACATGAACTCTCCCCGAAACATTCTCACAACCAGGCGCTCAGAAAAAACTGTATATTCAAACCCAATTCACAAATATCAACTTCATAACCCTCCGAACTAGACTGCGAGCATGCAGAGACTCCACGCAGAAAGTCGGAGAACGATTCTAACGAAAGGGTGAGGAGGCAGAAATCAAGACCTACTTGTGAGGATAGGGGTAGAGGGGGGTATAGCGGGATAGGGTGGGGAGCATCGAACGCCGAACCTCTTCACGTCTATACCGTCGCCGCTAAGGAGCCGTAAGATAGATTGCAGAGCGAGATGGAGGGGGCACGGTGGGGAATCTCGCTCACACATCCGCTTGAGCTTGAGATATCTCCTCATGTGCGAGACGGTTCCCAACGGGGGCGTTCTCACGAGTTCCCTCTCGTTAACGAGCCTGGGAACGTGTCACCAAAATAGAGTTCCCCTGTTTCACCCACATGGGAAATTTGAAGATGTGAAGTTTTGGGACTTTGTTTGTGCGCTCGTGTTTTATTTTGTTTGTTTGCATGTGGAGATGGATTTTAATCTTGTTGGTAGTGGGGGAAAAAAATGATGGAGGAAAAAGCTGTTCTTCTGGTCCCCATAGTGCAGAAGACGTTCCAGGCAGTTCTGGAACAAATATAAAATAAAAATAATAAAAATAAACTGTTCATTCGATGTCTTATGTGTGTTCAACAATATGGGTTGAAAGAAATTGTATGAAATGTGTGGTGGAAAAATTTTCAACATATATTTGAACTCCCAATCTGGAACAATTTTTTTGAATTCCCAATGGATTGGTGCCAAGAGGTTATAAATGCTTGATGTTCCAAAAAAAACAAAAACAAACTACTTTAATAATAATAATAATAATAATAATTTCATATATTATGGGTTTAATGTAAAGCATGCTATGTGTGCTATAATCTTTTTTTAACTAAATGTTTGATAATTTTGGATAGTTTTATTATAAAGTTAGACATACATGCATTACATTTTATTTTGAATCTAGATTATAGATTTACCAATTACTTTATTTTCTCAATAACATTAAAAGTATAAATTGTGGTAGTACTTGGTGGAATACATTAATGGATGTTAATTGTGTATTAGTGTAAAATATAAAAAAGAGTTGCAACTTGATAATCATAACATTGCAACATAGCACTTTTAGATTGTAGTTGCTTGCACTTGTGGTATATAGTGTTTTGATTTGTTATTCTCTTTTAAAAAACATGTTGTTTTGTTGTCATAAATGTGTTAAGAACATTTGCAAAAGTATTGAAAATGTCAAATACATGTCATATATTTTAAAGATATTGATTAGAACTTAGCTACGAATTAATATAATAAGATTAGATTTGATCTCAATGTAAAAAAATACATATATATATATATATATATATACGGTATTGTTAATGACACCACAATTTTTGTTATTGCCACCCCAACATTCAGGTGTACAAGATTCGGGAGACACAAGGACAAGAAGAAAGAAGGGGAAGGGTCCAGCTCATCTCACTGAGCCAGCTCGGCGCGTCTGAGTTGGACCCAAACTGGACACGTCGGACGGAAACCGGAAGCGCCGGTATAGAGAGCGAGAGATAGCCGGGGGGCCGGAAGAAGAAGGCTGAGGCCAAGGGCGTTGGCGCTGCTTTGGCTGAGTAGCAACATCATCAGATAGATTAGAAGAGATAGAATGGAATAGAAGAGCAGAAGAAGACCAAGCTGCGCTAGCTCCGACGCATCCTAATGTTCTTCATGGCCATGGCGTCGTCGTCGATGATGGTGCTCAACCCTTGCCGCACGCCCTCTACCGTCTCCGCGGCGCAGCTTCTGAAGGAGCCCCGCTCAAGTGCTCTTTCTTCTTCTTCCAATGCCAGGTTCACTCAATTGGGCTCGGAGCTTCGTTGGAGCGCTCGCCTCGCTGCACCATTGCTACCAAATGGTGGTGCTAGGGTTGTGCGGAGGCAGGAGCATTGCAGTGTCGTGTGTATGGTGCTTCCCGCTGGAGATGCCGAGTGAGTGTGTATGTATGTGTGTGTGTGTGTGCGTTTTCCGTTTTTTGTGGTGTGGGTGGTTATTGAACGGATTCTCTGCAGCGATTTATTGAATTGCTGTGGAGGGTTTTCGGAAATTTGGGGGCTTGAGTGTTCTGCTACGCCGCTGTGAGCTTTTCCTGGGTTGGATTTGTTTTGGGTTTTTCGGATTTGTTGCGTTGCTTGAGCACGCGTCTCAAATTGACCTGTTTTAGAGTCGCTCTGATTTGGGATTGCATTGGATTTGATTTGGTAACTGTTTGTCAGAATTGTATCTTCTCCGGCTGGAGCTAAATGGGAAGCTAGAGCTTTGAAGTCTTTCAGCATGGCTGAGTTGGAAGCTCGCAAATTAAAGTACCCTAATACGGGGACGGAGTCGCTGTTACTTGGAATTCTTACAGAAGGTGAGGAAGCCTTGAAACATCCAAATTTTGGCCTACCGTAGCGGTTTTGAATTTAATAGCTTATTGTCAGATGAATTTCGGTGCAGTTTGATTGCGCATTTGGAGATTCATTCGCAATGTGAATATCATTCATCAGTTACCTCTGATGCAAGGTGTGGGAATTCACAGGGACAAGTGAAGCAGCGAAATTTCTCCGAAAGAACGGTGTAACACTGTTCGGAGCGAAGGATGAGATAATTAATCTTCTGGGGAAAGCTGATATGTACTACTTCAGTCCAGAACATCCACCTTTAACTAGCTCTGCCCAAAAAGCTATAGCTTGGGCTGCTGATCCAGCAAACAAACCTGGTAACTCCATTCTTGCTCTCCTTGGAATGATTTTTTCATGTCATTTAAACTGGAGCTGTAGCGTTTAGATTCTTCAGGGTTTAGGGCTTAAGTTTGCGCATTAAAGAAAAGGAGACAAACGACACTTCACCTCATCCAACCCGTACATGTCAATATTCTTTTCAAACTCCTAGAGTGGTTTTATTCAAGTTTTGGACACCAGTCTATTGTAGCAGAAGCACGCATCAAGCAGGAGGAGCTCCGAGTCCTTAACAATGTTTTGGTAAACGGAGCATGCTCTATGTGGTATGTGGTGTGTATTACAGAATGGGTTTCTGGTGAAGAGCTGAGCACAACGATGTTAATTATCGGTATCTGGGCTCAGAAAGGCTCGGCTGGTCAAAAAATATTGGAAAAGCTCGGGATCAACGATGACAAAATTGCTAAGCTCTCCGACACCGTAAGTGCCACTTCCTGGCTTTTTGCGACAACGATTAGCATTCTCACATGTATTGAAGATCGAGTAACCAGTACCTTACAGTGTTTTTAACTAGTAAATTCCATCTCAACAAGTTGTTTTACTAAGGTTTGCTGTATGTTTTTACTCGACTAACGATTGTATTGAGCGTCATCATTTTTGTTTCATGTTGCTTTTTCTTTTATGTGAATGCATATTGATCGTCATGTTTCATTGCAGATGAAGAACTCGCCGAACAAGAGAGGGAATTATCAACAATTAGCTCAGTAGGCAGTTAGACGTTTTCCAGTTTTGCCCAATTTTCTTTCATTGTGATCCATTGTAAAAGAGCGTATCATTGGTCAACTTATTGCATTAGGTAATCGCATTTTTAGCACGATGGTATCTCAACTGGTAGGGGTTGCTCGCTTCGTTAATCTTGCAGTTTTTGTATACAACCTTTGCTGGCTTTGACACGTAGTTGCATTTTGCAGAACTACATATTCGTAGGTATCGTGCAAAGCAGCGCGCTTTTGATAGGAGTTATTTTATTCCAGCAGGCCAGTCTGCCTTCTTAAATTTCTTATCCGAGAGTTTTTGCTGTAACCTCTAGGCTCTCTGCGTTCAGGATCAGTTTACGAGTGTGAATCAGGGGTCTATTGTGAGAAGAAAGACAAGTAAGCCTGGTATATTTCACTCAGCTACTGTTTCATCATCAGGATGCCAGGTTAGCTTACTTGTCCTTCTCTGGTAACGCAGGCCCATTTGTGGTTGCTCCTCTCGACTGTATTCCTCGCCTTAACCTGGGTCGAGTAATTTTTTCTTGCTCCACCTTTTCCGCAACCATTGTTTTAGTCGGCATGTTCATCATGAACATTGAATTCATGAATGCGTTCATGCAACCTTAGACTCATCGTTCCCTCTCCAGCTTGTAGCGATGTTGTGCATGAGCGTATCCGGGTCTTGGTGTACCAGGAAACCTGTCTGGCGGATCTCATCACAAGATGTTTTCGTTACCCTGCACACTAAAAACAAATAAAAACACAATCGTCACGCTCACACTTACCGCTTGCGCTCTGCATTTCGAAGAATGATTAAGCCCTAGAGTCGACTCACATGTAGGTCGGACGCCACACCCCGGAGCGCATCGAAGTGCTTTTTTCATACTTAAAGGTATTAATTCGAGTAGAATTACTATTACTTGACAGGTATAGAACAGCTCTGGTGGCCATAGAAGCCAGCTCTGTCGACCTTAAACAAATCAACCGATCTACTTGCAGTCATATTTTTAACAAGGCCAATAATGAATGAACGTGTGTCCACCGAGTACTCTCCAAGTACACGCTTAGCTTCAGGTCATACTGCTGTCCGCGATTTGCAGTGGAATTGAGTTCCTAGTTCGAATGTAGGTTGTTGCTTGTTTGAGCTTTTGAGGTGTGAAGCTGATCCGAGTTTTGCTTTACCTCTCAGTTGAGCTGCAGGAAGCTGGGACTCAGGGATGGGATTACGATTGCAAAGTTTTGTTCTCCTGCATCACCTACCCTTACCCGTCCCAGCCCTGTCCTGTTTACAACCTAAGTATAACAACAGCTGTCCGCGCCTATAACAAATTCTTGAAATTTATTCTGGGAATGTACTCATGCTGTATCGAGGAGAAACAGGGATGAGTTCGGTAGCCAATTATATACTCGCATGTCAATCTTTTTTTGGATTTTTTTTTTTTTTTTTTTTTTTTTTTTTTGTTTTGTTTTTGAAACAAAGGAATGCAAACGGTTCGCGAAACAGTTGGCAGGATTAGGCAGTAAGATCCGATGCCTCTCGAGACAGGTGGAGGAAGCTTTCCAACAGCCACCAGTCTAATGCAGTAACCGTCATTTGCTGGTCGAAGGGACCGCCAATTGAAGCGCGATGCCTAATTGCAGGTCTCGTGCACACATCAATTCCGCGGCAATCACAAACTCCCTCAAAACAATCTGAAAAAAACTGCTCGAATGGGACCTATAGCTTGAAGAAGCAAGTCCCTTTCTAATTAAGTGCAAGTAGTCTGCCCGTGCCAAATGCACATCCTAAAGCCATGGTTTGAATCATGGAATTAGCAATAAAACAGCAGAGCTTCCGTAGCTGAAAAGTATAACGCAAAATTTGGCTTATGGTGCTCGTTCCTGAGCTAGCCATTTCTGGTTGCTGTAGTTATTTATAGTTGGTGCTAGTGAATTTGTCTGGGATGATACAAAACGAAACACCGAATTGGCATTGGAAAAGAGGGAACGAATCCCAAGTTTTGAGCAAATAAGGAACTTACCAGGTCAGCCCACAAAAGTCACCTCTCGATCTTGTGACGATTGACTAACTTATGAGGCGAATATAAACATTCTGGAATCTGGTCCGCTAGGACCTGCTGTCCTGACAAATGAGCATGGAAATCTACTGACCGTGGTCGTTCTTCCTAATCACATGCATGCGGAGATTTTTCCTTGTCACCTCGCAAGAGTTTGCTTCCACCCTATTCCCGACTTTGAAGTCGTCCTAAAGTCGGTCACCTCCTATACCTCGTCCTGTGTTGGCAACCTCTTCGACCTAAAGCCTTCGGCCGATGTCATGATATCCTCGACACAATTGCGAACTTGTTTGAAGAGGCTGTTCTGCACAGCACTCTATAGATACAGAAGCTTGTGTCGGGAAGCCGGGTACATGTCGACAACTTCACCATCTCGAATTACTTTCCCTGAAATCACTCCTATCATACTTCCAATCGACCACCCAATTTAGCAGACCATTACTGAAGCACTTAGTTGCATCGTTGTTCAACGAAAAACACTCGTCTGGTCAGCATATCATTATATCGTACAATCATTCACCAAACATGTGAAGAAAATCATCGAAGATAATCGGAATAATGAGATGTCCTCTGTACTCAGCTAATAAGCAGTCAGAGCAGCGTCCAAGCATGCGAAGGGTGCCCCTCAAATGAGACAGCGATTGTAAGGCCTCGAAATGACAAAAGCCTGGATCCTCCGTGGTCCTCTCCCTTGCATCTTCTTCATTGTGAGTACGCGAAACACTCTGGAGTTTAGGTCTAAGCAAATAGTTTGTCAACCTGTATAGCAGTTTCATGATAGTCTCATGCCTCACATGCGGCAGGCCTGACATCTATGGCATAAGTACAAAGCAAGTACACGTGACATTGGACGAAAGCCCAGACAAGAGAAATACGCTGTGACTAAATCTCATGTCCAACTAAGTTTCGCATCTGGAGGTAACCCATGCATCGATGGTTCCTTCGATGAATGTTTGCATTTTAACCAGACAAAACCTTGTTAGTTTTTCATATATCCATTCAGATATTTCACATACATGCTCAAACTTTGAATCCAATGACTTGGCAACTAATAAAAAGACATAGTCCACACACTGCATGTCTTGATGCAATACAATATTATTAGTTTAATCGATCATGGAAGTCGGAGAAAAGTCCATTCATTTAAATAGGAAGGATATATGCTTAGAAACCTGAAGCGTCAGTTTAAGCACCATGCGTCTCAAAGTAAAAGCTAGCAATTCGAGGTGGGAAGTGGGCAATTCAGGCTTCCCGGATTCGACTGCGTGACTTCTGCATTTGACAGGACAGCTGACCGAACTGAACGAGCCATTGTTTTGCTTCTCCACAGGCCCCACGGTCTAAACAGTTGTAGAATCCCAAGATACATCAGATGAAGCTGCGTAAGGTCGGGGCTTGAGAGGCTATTCGTCGATCCCCAAGCACATCCGGGAGCTTTGTGGGACCCAGTTTTACGCATAGGAGTGAAATGAAAACCATTCCAGCGCCGAATTACTGTGAGCGCTTCATTAGTTGGATGTATGAGTGACTGAGTAGCGATTGGAGTCGGATCCACCGCCCAACCAGCTGACCCATTGGGTACCTGCAAGGAGGGGCCCACTCTCAAGTGACCCATGAAGTTACAGTCCTCTCTTTGGTGCGGCCTGAGACACTACCGGTTAATAAAAACACGACCCACCAGCTCCATTATACACGGTTGGAAGTCATTTCACTCCAGACGTATCCTCTTTTCTGAAGATTGGTTACTGAGGCAGCGGAACAGTACGTATTTTGAAACTTTTCCGTAGAAGGTAACAACCATTATTAAAGATCTTTCTCTCGGGAAAAGCGGCAGTCGATCCGAAATGGGGGGGCTGTTGCGACCAGGTCAGTCAGAGTGTGGGCCATCTGATGGGGTTTCTTCAACAACAAGTGGCAGTTTTGAAGCATGAGAGCTCGGAATTGGGAAGAAGGGGGGGGGGGTTGTGGGAGTGGGGTCTGCGGCGACCGACCAGGGACCTCATGGATGCTCAACAAAGTCTCCCGAAAGGCGCGACGTCCATCGCGGCCTCGATCAAAGCTGATCTCCGGGTAGAGGATTCGATGCAGTTCACGCTTGTTCGATCGTCCAATCACAAGCGCGATCGATGAACATACACTGTGGGCAGAACCATGCTGACCGACACCCATCGATGCGTATCCAAACTGCAGCGGAGTGTTGAATTCTAAAATGTAGAATCTCAGCGCAACCTCATCAATCGTATTCGCGAACCATCTTCTTCAGATTCAACGGAGCGGCGCTGCGATTGCAATACCGTCATGCGATCTCTCCGCGATCGCTTCCTGCCACCAACCTCTCTTTCTAGCGTTTTGATCCTACGGCAGCGGAAGAACCAACTGGGCTCGACGGATGATACTTTGAAGCTTGTGTTTCGATGTAGATTGGATGGATGAAATGAGATCGCTACGTATGATTGTACAGAATATTTACTTTTTCGATTCATATTTCCAAAATGTGAATTGTCCTTGATATTCACTTTTTGTGGATTTTTTTTCTTTTTCGGTTTGATGTTTTCTTTGCGTTGGGTGGCAGAGTTGATGGGAAAACAAACAAAAAAGAGAGTCAAAGAAAGAGAAAAACCTCCAAGTGTATTGGTCCCATTGTTCAAGTTATATACACACATATACACACACACACACACACATATATATATATATATATATATATATATATTGTGGATTCATTAAATGCTCATCGCCAAAGTATTGTGCTTCAAATAAAGTAACATGATTGAAACTATAATGTGCTTGAAATACGCTCCAAAGTTAACAACTTTGTACGTGTATTTATATATATATATATATATATATATATAAACATATATGTACATATAATATCCTTTGGTTTATTCTAAATTGATTCTGATCCTCTTCAGTATTTTTCTACAAAAACCATGCAAATAGACTAAAACATGTAAACATAAATCATGAACATGTGACTTTTTCGGCACCCAGCTGATAAGATTGCGAGATACTTTTTTCCATGGTTGGAAAAAAGTCAATTCAATTTGTAAAATGTCAAAAGACATGAAATTGCATGCAAGCCACCTTAATATCCAGGTATAGGAAAAATTAATCACATTCACCTAATAATACTTACAGTTTTTAAAAATTTGTGTCGGTTCCGTGAGAAGTGCTTGTACAATGAGGCAAGTGTTAATGGGCCCTCATATTAGTCTACCTTGCCAACTATTAAACTATATAAAGCCAATAATAAATTTAGATTTAGTGAAGAATATGCCAAGTTAATGTTGGGTTCACAATTCAAGGCCCTATGAGCGTGCGTGGGCGAGAGGTGCTGGGGCATGTTCAGAGCACGAGAGGGACCCAAAGCCGTGCCAGAGAATGTAAAAGAAATGAGGAGAGGGAGGGGGAAGAAACGGGCAGGGCAGAGTGAGAAATTTCGTTCGAACATCTGCCCGAATCCTTCTGATCGACCTGGTCCTCGTCGTTGCACCGAGCCCGGCTTTGCCTCTTCTTCTTGCGCCATAGCCAATTGTCAGTAATGCTTAGAGCTCCTCCATGAGCGAGAGCTCCAAGGAACTGTCCACTTTCTCTTCTCTTTCTTTCATCACCTGAGAATGCATCCATCCTTTTGGGTTGCAGTTTTTCCCTTGTTGTGAGAAGGGAAGATCCTCGTTAAAACTACGGTGTCGTACATTTACAATCTCTCGATCAGTACCTGAATCGGCTCATCTGGCGCAAGAGCTTGGGCTTCATTATTTTATTTTATTTTTCTTTTCAGAAATCAGTTTGCTAGACTGACGGGAGGGAATCCGCTTAGAATTAGCGATTAGATCGTGTTTGAAGTGGTGAAGATTCTTTTAGAGAATTACTTGTGCGTGAGCTTATCCGTTGTGATTTGCGCTGCATCTGGGACTCGGTTTGTGGCCTCTAGGTCTTCAGAATTGTGTTAGATACACGAGGCCGATTGTCGGATTTCAGGTACAAAGCGTAACCTAGGTCTGCTCAGATACGTGGAATTTTGGTGTGAGCACTGCGTTACAAGTCGTGCTTGACTTTTTATCAATGCAAGCAGCCTGATTGAGCTCATAGATAGCAGTTTTTGAAGAGCATATTTTGTGTTGAATCTTATCTGAGACGTCCTAAACAATTTCGAAAACTCGAAGTAACGCATCTTGTCGCATCTGTATCAGTTTAGTTGCGATCGGCAGCAGTTTCTGGTTGGTATCCCCCTTCGAATGTTATAGCTGTGCAGAAAATTTATCACGGGGATAGCGAAGCAGCTTGGAAAGGTTGAAGATCCAAAAGCTGCGATAGTTTCTGTAAGTTTTCACTGTTTTGATTCACCTACACATGTGGCAGAACCGAGCGAGTGTTGTTGGTTCATGTTTTAGGTGAATTCTCCAGGTGAACTCTTAATTGCGCGAACGATGGTTTCTTGATTCTGTTTTACACTCTCCGGTAGTTTAGCGTGCCTGGCTCAGACAGTGAATTTCGTCTCTTGATCCTGGTGCACTACGCCACTGTGCTTTGCAGTGCAACCTATTTCACTTTTCTTCAACAAGTGTAGTGTTCAGTGCCTCGAACAGTTTAGCAGGTCTAATCTCAGTCGATCTCGGGTCGTCACAGCACCAAATGTAGTCCACCCTCTTACCACATATGGCCTGATTATGCTGTATTGTAATCTAGTGAGTTAATCGGATGAGAAGTATTAGTTGCAGTTTTATAGCCGTTCACACACTAGGAGGATGTGGCTTACATATTTAGCTTTACAGTGTGGACCGTCATATATTTTGCACGAATCCGACCATTCGATTGCGACTTGAATTGAAGAATTGATTTGTTCGTTTCAGTTCGTATTACAGCACTGTGTGTGTGTGTGTGTGCGTCGATGTCTTCTTGGTGTAGAGCAGGTCACTGTTTACAGTCGTTCTCCCAATCTCTGTAGAGACAAAGATAAAATTCTTATACAAATTTTTACTTCACAATATCCTTTTTAGAGAGATGGGAAAAGGAGGTGGAAAGTGTGCAAGTAGAGCGCACAGTGCGAGCTCCACAAGAACGTCAAGGCTCCCTGCTAAGAAGAATAGAAAGCCTCCAGTTAAGTCGCCAACACAAGCTTCGAAGTCAAGTTCTTCTAAGGACAAAGTCATTGACCCCGATCCTTCAACCCTGGTGCCTCTGATTTCCAAGGTTCACACCCTTCTCTACATTTTCGATTAATTTGCACCTTTTCAGCTGCATGAGGATCCGTAATCGTAATTAAGAATGTGCTGTGTGATTTAGCTTATTGATATTTTTTCAGACGAGCCCTGGCTGTCAAAATTGGACCTGTATATCCTGTGGTTGGGTTTAGTGAATAACACTGTAGTCTGCAATACGTGATACTATTGCCGACAATAGCCTACTGTGAACGCGGGTAGATGTAATGGTAACCGTTGTTTATATGCTGGCCTTTTGTTTTATCCAGAAAGAATCGCAGCCAGCCGCAGTTGAGAAAATTAATGATGATGATGACATTGATACGAATGTCACCTTTGATCAAGAAGAATTGGATTATCCTGCATCCGAACATGAACGAAGGCTTACAGGAGCATCATCGTCCGAGATGCCAAGTGTCTACAACACTGCAAATGCTAGTCCTGCCAGGTCATTTTCAAGTGGAGCACGAAGCCCTGACACTGTGTATCTCAGCGGATCAGAAGACATCCCGCAGTACATTGCCTCACCTGTGCACCCTGTTGGGATGCCCTTGGCCATAAAGCATTCAAAGGCTGGTGCAAATTCACCAGAGTCTGTTGTCTCTTCTCAACGCCGTATTCACAATGATGAGGATCAGTTTATTGCGAGATGGGCACCTGCCTCATCTTCAAGTAGTACTGGGCCAAGCGGTGGTGTTTTGAGGAAAAGACATAGTGTTGCTGCATCAAGCACCGCACCACTGGAAGTCAGAAGTTTGACAACCAGCAGTAGTTTTCCAACACCTGGTGGGCGCATTGAGGGAAAGCCGGTACCAAACATTGATTCTGTTAATAAAACAATTGATGAAGTAAATCTTTTTGGAGAAAGTGAATCACGGAAAAAAGATGGGCCCCTAGTTGTAGAGGGACATATTGCCAATAAAGAAGAACCGAAGCCGTATGATTCTCAAGGAGCAGAAGCATTAAAAGAGTCATTAGATGACAACTGGGAAATGGTACCAGCACAGCATCAGTCAAAAGGGTTAGGTCGGGAATGGATTGCGGTGCCTACGCCTAGTATCACTGACACCAAGCTGCATGCGCCTTCATCTCAAGGTGTGTTACTGTTTTGGTGTTATTTTAGAAGTGATTTTTTCCCTTGTGCTTGTGAAAGGTGGGTTACAAAGATCGATGACTCAGTAGTTTGTGAACACTATGAAATTTCTGATTTGACGAGAAAATGCATTTATGCATTGAAACGCTTCTACCAGAACTGCAACCTCAGATAATATTTTGAAGTATTCCCTCCGTTCTCTTCGAACATTCACATCACTCATTAATGATTTTTGGGCGAAGTAATCTCTTCATTTACTATGTGACAAATTTATGTTCATCCTAGCATTGTCGTTTTGTAATTAGTTTGAATGTTACAGAGAGCAAGGAGGTGGAATCACCAGAGCAAGTGAATGAGAGAGGTATTGGGAAGTCAAGAGAGGAGCCCCTTGAAGTCTTTTCGAGTATACAACCAGTAATTTCAATTGCAGATAGTGTTAGCAAGGCCGCAGAAGGACCAGAAACTCCTGTCCAAAAAGAAAATATTATGAAATCAGTGGCCAGTGATCAGTCTGACGAGATTGAAACTCGGTCGTTAAATGGTGAAGGAGGAGATTATGTATTTTTGGGGGCAACAGGAAGTCCAAAAACAGAACAAAGTTCTCAAGATCCAGACCTTGACACTGATGTTCCTGAGTCAACCATTGCACTGAATAAGCTCGCTTCATCATCAAAAGGTGATGATAGTCCTGTGCCGAATGCCACACTCCAAAACAATGAGGCAGAGGACATACCCATTGTAGCACATGGTCTAAGAGAAGAGACTCCTACTATATATGATAGGAATGAGGAAGACAGGGAGGCAAAGCCCCTATCAAAATCCGTAAAGGAAGATGAGGAAACACCAGAAGTTGCCGAGAAGGGATTGGCATCTCCTGCTCCGGTACCTGAAGAAAAGGATGCTCCATCTTTTGAGTTAGATACTACCCCGCTCGAAAAGACTGCTGCTCCTAAGCATTCCGAATACGATCCTGCAGAATTAGTGGAGGAGGCTGGAATAGCCGCACCAGCTCTGTCGGAGGATGCCCATGTCGACCAGCCTGATGTTGAACAAGTTCATGATTCCAAGGTTTCTGGTGAAGTTGAGGCGTCTACATCCGAGCCTGTTATTGAAACTGAGTCTGGAAGTGCAGCCCCTGCTGAGGGTGTGTCATCGGTTGAGGAAGCCGTTCATGAGTCGATTACTACCCCAGTGGCGGAGAATTTGGCAGCGGAGGTTGGTGAACAAGACGGTATAGGTGTGGAATTTCCGGCAAATGACAATCCTGATGCTGATAGCTGGAGAATTTTCAAACAGGAGATTGAAAATGATACATCACAGGCTTCCGAAGGACCTGAGGCAAATGTGGCCGAGGAGGCTAAGGTCGAGGAGCTAGCTGCAGCAGCGGATGCTGAAGTGGAAACTACAGCTTCAGCGGGAAAAAGGGAACTTTTAGGGGGTCCGGGGGCCTTTCAGGTCGACTCAGCCTCAGTTGAGGTGGAGGTTGCCCCCGCCCGTGTGGAGGAATCTGCTGTCACTGAAGTTGAGAAACCCACATCTGCAACGGAGGGAAATAACGCAGAGAAAGCTTCTGCACTAGTAGAGGAGGAAGTGAAGCAGGAGGCCACTGCTTCGTCTGCCACAGCTTCTCCACTAGATGCAAATGCTGCGGAAACAGCCCTTGAACTGCAGAGCCGTGAGAGCGAACTTCCCGTTGCGGGTAGCGAGCCGTTATCAGAGACTGTATCAGAAATCCAGGCTGTCCCCGACCGAGACGCCGATTCCCCAGTTAGTGAAGACCAGGCTGCGGCTATTGGTGATGGCACGCTTGAAGTGCAGCACGATGATGCTCCTATGGACGTGGTTGAATCTGCACCTCTTGGAAATGACGCATCCACACCAGCTTTAGACACTGCACAGGCTGAAGAACCCGTGGCCTCAACCTCCTCTACTTCAGCTACTGCGGATGGAGTACCGGAGGTGCAGAGTCGTGAGTTTGAGATTCCCGGTGCGGGTAGCGAGCCAATTCCAGAGGCTTCATTAGGAGTTGAGGGTGCGAATGAGGTAGACGTCGATTCCCCAGTTTCTGCGGAGCAGGATGCGCCTGCTGGTGATGACACACCTGTAGCGCTGGAGCAGGCCGTCCCCTCTAGCTTGGACTCACCCACACCTGGTTTGGAGTCTGCAAAAGATGGAGGGGATGTGGTATCTTTGAGTAAGGATGAGGAGGTAGATGCTTCACCTGTGCAAGTGGTTGAGGACAGCTCAGTGGTGGATGCAAGTGCGGAACCGTCGCCGACAGCTGCCGAGGCCGTCGCTGATGAGGTTGCAGGAGCGCAGGCAGAGGTGCCCGTGATTGTGGATGCGAGTGATGCAGCGGTCACACCAGATACGAATGCTGTGGACACTGCTGAAGAACAGAGCCGCAAGGTTGAACTACCCGTTGCGATCAGCGAGCCGGTATCACAGAGTGCATCCGAGGCTGCTCCCGAGGTGGTGGGTTTAACTGATGTGGAAGGTGCATCCAGTCCTGTTAAGCAGGTAGATTCTCCTAAGGTGGCAGAGGTTGCTCCAGGTGAAGATGCATCGGCAGGTATTGCTGGTGGCTTGAAAGACGTTGAGTGAACGCTCAGTTTGCAACTATTCATTGTCTCCAGTTTCTTCACGTACAATTGAAACGATTTCTGTTTTCGATCTGTCAAAGTGTCCCTCCTTTTAGTGATGGACATTCTGCTTTTGCCACTGTGGATGAGAACCTTGGCTATTTAACGCTTAGCATTGGGCTCCAATCTCGCTTGTGTCGACTGTTGCCAAGCATAGCTTGTGACTCCTGTCAGTCCAATCCTTGCGACTTAAGTATCTACAAGAAGCATTCGGTTGTAATAAGGTTAGCTGTGACCGGCCCTTCAGCAGTGCGTTGGCTGTCCTTGGGCAAGTAGTGGGAGAATTTGATATTGTTGCAGCGAGGAGGGTGTTGCGTACGGGGGACGTATGAGCGCACACGTATGCCTGCATTAGTCAGAGAATGCTTCGCTTCTCGTGAGAGTACGAGTAGGTGGTTTCAGTGCGAACTGTTCCGTATAAGAGTTGTTACTAATTTTGTCCACGACACTATGTGCAGTATGTTCGGAATATGAGAATAATAGATGAAGTTTCTCACTTTCTGTAGAATTGGGTCTAGGTTCTTTTTTAACACTATTAATATGTCTGGAGTTCCACCCATTGTCTGAACTAATCCAAATGTCACCCACTGTCTGGCAGCGCTCGGCAAGTTTTTCCTTGTCTTCTTCCTTGTCCATACAGGTCATACACCAGCCGTTTTGTACTGTAAACAATGTAAAGAAAATTTACAATGGGATCAATTCTATCATTTGTCTATAAATGAGTGCTTTGCTCTCAGGAGGCTTGTTCATTTCTATTATTGCCAAATCCTTTGCTGCAAGGTATGCAGGATTTAGTTTGTTGGACTTGGTGGGAAGAATTATGTGCCGCTGTTTGTAAAGTGTTCCTTTCTCTCCAGTGGGACAAGATTAGTTCTACAGTTTTGAAAGTAGGGTTGTTTTCCAATGATCTCCACAGTCCCTTGTTCAAAAGACCCCAAATGAACTGAAAAAGAAACAATTGAACGCGTCCCTTGATTGGTTTGAAAGAAGGAAAAGAATCTTGTTGAATGCTTATCTGATTGTGAATGGTTTTCTTGCGAGTGACTGTATTTGGAACTTCGGTGAGTATTGTGGCATTGGTGACTCTCAGTGCATGGCTACTATTGAAGAATATGAGGTTATATGGGCAGAGTTGGCAAAATGCATTGTGGGTTGGTCATGTTAAGTAGGGTTTTCTTGAAGAATGTAAACTAAATCTAAGGTGGGTGTTAGGAGATGGTGAAGAATATAAAGGAAATGCTGCATCTAACTTTGTGGAAGTGTAGGTATTTGTACCAATCAACTTACAATTTACAGCCTGCATTTATTATACTTTAAATCCAATCAACTTTAAAACTAATATAAAGAAATAAAAATGAAGCTTATCTAACTTGATATTATAAGCAAGATATGCTTTGTATATTAAAACATCAAAGAATATAACACAAATCGCATTATGTATGTATGTATGTATGTATGTATGTATGTATTGTAAGTTTTTTTTATTTTATTTTAAATTTCTCTTGAGAAATATTTTAAAAAATATATGCACATTTTAAAATTCTTTTATGCACACATAATTTAATTGAATCAATATAAACCCAAATTTAACAAATCCACGATTTTTATTATTAGAAGATACAAAAAATTTCCCAAATGTTTCAGTTTGTGTTAAAATCTCTAAACCATTTTTATCAATAATTTTTCTTCTTTAGTTGGATTATTCAATAAAAATATTCTTTTTTTTATTGACAAGATTATAATATATCTTCATAAAATACTTCTAAATTAAGATTTTATAAATATCACAAATTTAAAAGTAACATTAACAATTTCTTTCTTTCTTTCTTTCTTTATATTATTGAAGAAGCTCTGATCTTTGTTCATTCAAATTTTTGGAATCTAAGATTTTTTTTTTTTCATAATATGAATTTTATTACATATCTATATTTTTTAAGTAGATAGAAGTAAATTAAAAAAAAAAAAAAAATACAAGAAGTACCTAAGTATTACTAATATAAATTTTATAGCAGTATAATGATTTCATTATTTTCAATTTAGTATCTATTTCTATTTCTCATATAATATCATATGTCACTTATACTTCTTAATTTTTTGGTGGCTTATCTTCACAACCTTAATATACATTGTGACAAGACTAACATTGAAATTTAATCTATTTCAATAAATTAAAAAAATACATTAAAATTTCTCAAAATACCAGAAAAAATAGCAATTGCAAATCATTTTTACTTTTTAGTAATAGGATTTGGTATTTTATGCTGGAAAAATATCATAATTTCATTCAGTAATGCACAAGCTCAAACATGCATGTAAAGTTGCAAAATTATAAAATTGACATCAATTCCTTCATCTCCTTTACACAAATAAGCTTTTTCTAGCCAATTATTCATTAAAGAAAAAAGTGTACCATCTGATTGTGTGATGATTTTGTTTAAAGAAGAACAAACGGTCTTTGAGTAGATTGGTGTGGATGCATGGCAATGAGGACACTCAAAAGAACATCTTCTACATCATGTAATACCATTATTCTTAGCCCACGGCCACTTACTTAGGACAACAAATTAAGATTGTGGTGCATTCAAATTAATTAATCTCTTTAAACTAGATAATTTTAAAAATTAGAACTTATTTAAGATTTAAGATGGTGGATTCATATTAACAAATTTCTTTAACATGTGAGTAAGTTTACTTAGAGTGTAGTATTTTAGCTTGTAATTTGCAAGCTCCTTTAGTTAGTTACTTCACTTTTAGTGTGAGATTTTTTTTGAAGTCAAAATTGTTGCAAGTTTATTAATAATGTGTTTTTGATGGTTTTTTACCATACGTAAACTCTATTATATTTTTACTTTGTATCATCTTTAATTTGATTAATTCTTTTATTTTTTAACATAAATATAATTCTCTATACATATAAATATTGCATTTGGTGCATTGGTTTACATTAGAATTGTGTTAATATTTTTTTGCTATGTATGTCTTTAGAATCCTTTAGAAGAATATCAATAGGCATTTCAATAAGAAAGAATCTCTGCAAAAAAAAGAACTATCATACCATTTTATAAATTTGTGATTCTATTGTATATTAAAGACTACCAAAAATATTTCATTGTAATCTCCAAAGTTTTTTAAAACTAAGATATTTTATTAATATAAACTCATGTGATGTTCAAGGTGCATAAAACTTAATTTGATCTTAAAAAATATTTAATATATTTTAAAAGATAAAAAATTAAATTTATATTTAATTAATAAAAAAGCTAAAAAAATAATTTATACAGATATAAATATATATCAATGATTCAAATCTAAATAAAATTTCAAAAATATAAATATATAATTATCTGTAAAAGAATTCATAAAAAATTATTTTCATAACAAAATAAGATTTTAGAATGGTGCCCTCTAAGTCCAAATAGTTTTAGATCTTAAACTAAAAGGTGTTGAAAAGACTAAATATATTTTTAATGTTTCTTCTACATATTCTAAGAAATAAGAAGACCATGAAAAAACTTCCTAAAAACTACAAGGTTTATAAACTAAGTGTCTAAGTTACAAGAGATTTCTACAATTATTATATATATATATATATATATATATATATATATATATATAGATACATTGCACGTTTAAAAACACTTATAGATCTAATCTACATTTAAAACAATTATTTAAATTTTCTCAAAGAAAATATTATCTATTTATTCTATTCTTATATATCTTTAATTATATCCATTTATTTAAGTATTTTAAGCAATTTTAAAGTGTCTTCATTAGGCTCATCACAAATTTTTGGCATAACAAGTCAAAATAAAATTGCTTTGATTTGAAAATATTGATTTTTATATAATTATTATTCACATAAATTATAAGCACTGAACCAACTACAAAAATTTATTACTGAATCTTTGAATTACATCAGTACACTTGTCTACTTGACTTGCACATATTTTCCATTCAAAATCATATTAACTAGACTGAAATTTGATTAATTTTGCACACAAAATTTTAAACATATATATATATATATATATATATATATATATATATATATTCCAGATTGAAACAAAATTCCAGAAACAAAAAAAAATCATATCATTAGTCATGTGAATGAGCTCACATGAGGCACAATATACAATACCATTTGGTGAGGGAAATGGAGCTTTAAAAGTTCTTTAGGATTGAAATTCTAAGCCCTCTTCATTCCACTGACTGCAGAACAAGCATGCAAAATGATGCATTTATTCACAAAAATGTTGCAGGCTGAGGTTTATTAATCAGTTTCAACTTTCCATAGCCCAGGTGTGATTAGAACTGCACAACTAAATCAATTGCTCACAAGAATTCTCTACCTCGTGTCAATATTGTCTAACTGAATATACTCGACCCTGTCGGTGAAAAGTGTGACAAAGCGGCAATATTTGATAAGTAATGGCTGGATGTGATTTATGGGTGGCGATTGGATGTGAACGATGGTAAGGAGCCTGGCTATGGAGCTCAATGAAAGGAGATTAAAAGGTTTAAAAATAAAACTAAAACGATTTTCGAGTAATTAAATTCACTTTCAGCGAGGTGAGGGCAATTAAACTCTGTATGAATTAAACGCCTCCTCTAGAGAGATCCATAGGAATGGGCTTCCATTTCTAACAGACAAGTTGAATGTGTCTCTTGTCAAGGATTGGAGTTCTCTGATAAAGTTTCACTTGATAATTTCAAGTTCTCAAAGTTAAAGAGTGACTGTGGTTGCAACCTCTAGCAAAAGGTGTGCTGCTTTCCCTCGAGATTGTTAACATTTCGGCTTCTTCTGTGGAGGTCCAAAAGAAATCGATAGTTTCTGTACTAGCTTGGTCTTGTCCCCTTGATTTCGAATCAACACTTAATCCCTGGAGATGATTATTGACACACAGGAAATTTCGTGTTTGCATTAATTAACAAGTCTTTAGTTTGATGATGTAAGCAGAAGAGTAAACCTTCGCTTGACAGAATTGAAGGTAAAACATTATGTGGTATGTGCATTGCAATCCTGGCCTTCGCTGCAAATTAATTTGTTCGCATTATGAGCTTTCTAACTCAAAACCTGCATAGAAATTGTAGCTTATAGCACACAGTATACTCCACGTTTGTAAAATTCGAAGTAATTGCATTGAATGAGAATTTTTTCACATGTACCAGACCGCTACAGTGGTTTTATTCTATAGCAAAGACACCCTCGGGTTGCTTCAAAAAATGGACATAACAGGGATTAGCAGTAGTGAATGCCGACCTTACACTACGTGTGCAAGGAGTATGAAATCCGTCAGCATGCCAGAACAAAGCTTCATAGAACTGTACAAAAAGAAACATATTACATCGAAATCATGAAACCTAATCTGCATACAAAGATCATATTTTCGAGAATGGTTCTTTATCAGAGAGTTGCCATAACTTCAGCCTGAGAAAACAGTCCCACGGAAACTGATGCAACGTTCACTTCCTCACCCACCTTTCAGACACGACATCCCACCAACTGTCGAACCCTAAAAGCCATCTCAAACGCGGCGGGTAGCTCGAGAAAAAAAAAATCCTCAGCTCGGCGACGCATCCGGTGTTGTGATGACCCACACAACGCCGACCACTGCAACCACCCAATGTCGAAGCACAGATTCAGTCGGTGCTGGTTGAAACCTCATGGTGTCAGCTTGAAGTTGGCCTCGGTGAAGTTGATACTGGCCACGTTAAATCATCTCTGTTCATGTATATGTAAATGTTTGTTTCTACAAAGCAAATACAGAATAAGATCAGATGCAGAAACTTAGTGAGAAAACCTAGTGCAACCTTCGGCAGTCTTTTCTGCCCTTCATTTCATGCAGTTGAGTTTCATGTTGTTGCTTAATATGCAAAGGGAACAGTGTTGCCGAGTGGCTGGGCTATTCATAGCCATTACATTTAAGTAGTGTTCGACAATTGCGGCATGGATTGCAAGGAGGTTTGTGGGTCCTCAATTTGTGGGCCTACTACAACTGGACACATTCTTCACATGGACCAGGTTTGTGTAAATCCTCGGTGGAGTTCACTGTTTGGTTGAATTTGTATAAGGTTTTTAAACGATTGATTCCAAAATAATAAAAATAAAAATAAATATGATTCTTTTGTATTTTGTGTTTGAAAACTTCAAGTTGAAAAAGAAGTTTGTTAAAGATGATGTTAATATTGGGTCGGATTTCATTTGCACTTAAGTCAAGTATTTCTCAATTTTTATATGGAATTATTAAGCTGGACATTATGTTTTATTATTACAATATTAATAATAATGACATCCTATTTTTTAAAATGTTACAGGCCAAAAGTTGTTAATATGAATGTATTAAAATGTGTATGAATATATATATATCTATATATATATATATATATATATTTAGCAACTTAAAGTTTTATTTCAAATAGTTATTAAAAAGAATTGAAGCATTAAACATAATAATTAAATTTTCATGTAAAAGATTAGCATTTAGAACTTTAGACAAGTTCTGAATATTTTAACATTACTACAAAATGTATAATAATTGGTAGAACAAAAATCCAACTAAAACAAAATGTTGCATTCAAATTTTAGTAATATACTAAAAGATTGGTTATTTAGTGTATTAGATGGTTTATTAATATAATTAAATAAAATTATTACTATATTTATAAATATATTATATAAATAGGATGAATAAAAACAATTTAAATTATATTTTGTTATTAGCATTAACATGGATTGTGATGTGTCTAATTAAAAATCATTTATATTGTTTTTGAAATTTTAACCGAAAAATAGACAAAAATAGATTTTTAGTTGTGGCAACTTTAAAAAAAAAAATTGTATGTTAAATATTTTTATTGATATTTTTAAGATTTTACATAATAGATTAGATAATAACTATTGTAACTATGTCTTTTAAGTACATAATAAAGTAATGAAAGTGAGAAATATGTTGATTTGAATATAAACCCTATTCTTTTTAATACAAAATCATGTAATTTTTTTTATGTGATTAAAAAAAATGTTACATAAAGAAAATAATGTTATGTAAAGTTGAGACAATACACAATAATATCTAATGACTATGTGTTAGAAATAATCACTTATTTTTGTATATTATTTTAGAGACGGATGGCATCTTAAATAAAATCGAGGTTTTTAATTTTCCTAAAATAGGTTAAAAGAGTCATTGGAGATCCATTAAGTTAGAAGATTCCTAAGCTTGTCTTCTGTTGGAGAAAATCCAAACTCTTGGGGAATGTTTTTGTTTTTTTGTTTTTGTGTGTGTTTTTTATTTTTATTTTTGGTAGCCTTGAACAATACTTAAGCTGAAAACATTGTCTTCTTTTTTCATCAAGTTTTGTATTCCACATAGTTTTTGAAAGTTTCAAACTAAGATCCTGTTTATTTTGATACTACAATAATAGATTAAAAAATAATTAATCCAACAACAAGAATTTTAAAATATTAAACAATTTTTTTGTTATACTATTAAAATTTATTTTCTGGTTATAATTATAACACATTAGTGTTTGTGTGTGTATATATACATATATATATATATATATAATATAATATAAACTGTGATACATCTATGACATTCACAAATCTTTATATGCAAAATGAATACAAAACACTCTATTCAGTACAGATATAGTTTTATATATAGAAGGAACATACATATCCATATCAATGAAACATTTGTTTTTTTAAATGAATTAACTTCAATGTTCTAGCACAGAAACACACATTAGAATCAATGCATTACATCAAACTCAAATTGCATCCATAACAAGTACCCATCTTCTCACACAAGTTTTTGGATAGAGGAGTAAAAATGATAAAATAAAAAAACAAATAAATAAAAGGGTGGAGGATTCCACATATCCAAGTATTCCCTATCCAAAAGCTCTCCCTTGGCCTTTGAAAAACTCAACTCCCCCTTTCAAGAGGTCTCTTATTATTGGATTCCGGTTTTTCGCAAAGTGTGTCCCATTCATGGATGCATAAATGTTCGACATGCAATTAGGGTTTTGACTTTGTCATGAAACGGTCACTAATCCACCCTTTTCAATATTGAAATCATGTGTCTTTTGTCATGTGCATGTGTTTTTAATTTATGTGGGTCATTCATTGCCTTGAAGAGTTTGACCAATTGTTAAATGCCCCCTTTGACAAGATGCCCACCGCAAAAGCAAAGTCCAAGTGGGTCCAAGTCACAATGGCTCCACTCGGCCCCGCTTGAATGGCACCCATTGGTTAGGGTTGTGAGATGATATTGAAGGAGTCTATGGGAGCCACAACCCACTTCTTTTATTATTTTGATTGTTATTATTCCCTAGGGACCAACCCCCCCATGGAATCATACTACTTGGCTTAAATGAATGGTTCACATTTGAAGGATATACATTTGTATAATAATAACAAAACCCATGGATGATTCCTTTGGACACACAAGAGTAGAGTCACTAACTGGAGCCACCCAAGAAAAATATCACATTTGCATTCTTTTCATAGAGTTCAAAAAGCTTAAATATGAGAAGATTTAAAGGTTGTAAATTTATATTATTATTATTATTATTATTATTGTTATTTTCTCCATTTTGTTGTTGTTGTTGTCGTTGTTGTTTTTCTTTTTAATATCAATCTTTTGGGTCTCTTTTATTTTTCTTTGTGACTTGTTTATTAAACGTGCACCTTGTTTTCATTTTCAATGGTTGTTTAAGTTGGGTGAAGTGTGTGGCACAACTTCTTTTTGAACAGTAGAGATTATTTAATCGTGGTTCTTTCCATTCCAACAGCACAACTTTATAAGTTTTATGCTAAGTTGAAAACTAATTTTCATGGGTAACCTTCAAAAAGGCAAATTGCTTTTTTTTACTTGAATTCAGTTTTCCATGCATTCATTAAATGATTGTGATACATGCATAGATTTTATTTCTGTGTAAATTATAAAAACATTCATTTGAATATGAAAATTGTCATTGAAAGATGTACAAGTCCAAAATTCAATCTATCTTGATGCTATTTTGTGCTGTAAAAAAGTGAATTGAAGAAAACAATTACCCTAAGATTTTATATATATATATATATATATATATATATATATTAGAAGATTTTGATTATATGGCATAATCTTTGATTTTTTTTTCTTTTTATAAAGTCAAATGTCTTGATCTATTTACAACAATGAAGTTTACTATGTTCTTCTAGATAATTTTTTCTTTTTTCTTTTTTCATATTCTCACTCAAGCAATAATAAAATAAGGAATTTTTTACAAACAACACCCATTTATCCTATATTGTTATTATTATTATTATTATTAACGCAACTTATTTAAGTTATTATAAATCCTTTTCAAACAAATTTTGTTGTTATGCTAATTTTTGAAGGCTGCATTTTAATGTTTAGTACTTTCCAACAAAACAATATATGTTCAGAACTTGATAAAATTGTTGAAGGTGCTATTAACAACCTTCTTAAAATTAGGTGAAATGGATGTTTTTACCAAATATTTCCATATTCTCAACTATGCATTGTTCAAACATGCACTTGCATAACAGAAAATTGGAACAATATTTTATTCTAATTCTATCTCAATTTTATTTTTAATTTCTTACGTCTATTCAAAAGGTGACAAATCTCAAATTAGTTCTAAGTACATAACAAATTAAGACCTGGATAATAAAATAATATAAAATAAAAGTGCAAGAGAAAAGAAATAAAAATAAAAGCAATTAGAAAAAACCCGAGAAAAAGAAAAGTTAAAGACAGAACAAGAAAAAGTAACTCACTGCAAAAGCTAACACTGCGAACGGATATATATACGATTTTGAATATATACGATCACGTGTACGATGTCGACTGCCCACGAAAAAACCGTGCGTAGCGTGGTTTGAGTCTTGGTCTCGCGCGCGAAGGCGATCTTGAAGGTGAGGAAGCTGGGCTCTGATTCTGTGCATGGCGGAGTTGTGAAGGGGCTTTGTGGTGCCGCTGGCGGAGATCGAGAGATGGTTGAACCGACTCTTGTGATCGCCAGGGCTCAATTTGTCCCTGTTGTAGCCATCGCCCTTTTGCGTCTCTGACGACGCGCTTGGCGAGATCTTTAGCCTGCTATTCTGTTTGCGGAATTCGGTTAAGTTTCGAAGAAGTTGTGTGAATCCAAAGGGAGGCGAAGCGGCTTTGACACGGAACAAACGAAACGAGTCCTGGTCCTTTCCCTGCCGGTCGGAGTTTCAGAGTCGATCGGTTAGTTTTATTTTACTTGGGGGATTGAGCACTTCTTCTAGATATTCTGTACATGATCACGTCAGAATTTGAGTTAGTGTTGAGCGCTGTGTTGATCTGGGAAAGGGGAAAGAATTAGCGAAATTTCGCAGATCTTCGGTGGATTTTTTAAACCAAGCTGAGAAGCGCGTAGGTTATTCAGTTTGTTGCCGTTGATTTTCTTTCGTTTCGGCGGAGGCTCGTTCGTTGAGTCGGCGCGGATAAACTTGTGAAAGGATTGTGCACTCTTTCGATAGGTGGGATTGGTTTGCAAGGACGGCTCAAGTTTCCATTCGAAGCGTTAGGGGAACACGTGATTGTGCAGTGCGACGGTTTCGTTTACTGAACTCAATTGTATCTGTTAGTTTCTATCTGTCCCTATTGGGTCGAATTTGAGGTGATTTTTAGTATCTCATACTTTCGTCATTACGGTGAAGCGCCTCAAAACGCGCTCTTCAATATATTGTTACACTGGATTCAGTGCTTCAGTCTTGGATATTTGCGGAATTTATTGAGGATTAGTTCCTGTTGTAGTTAAGAAGGTACACGCCTTCATTTTATTGACGTCGCAGTACTTCGCGTGGTGTATCCTCCCTGGAAATTGTGCATTTTTGCACGTCAGTTTAGGATTTCGTTTTCTTCGGCGAATTTTAAGGCTGAAGAAGCGATTGTTTCACACCAATAAAGTGGTGTAAATTCGAGGGAAAAAAAAACAGAAGAAAAAAACAAAGAAAACAAAAAAGAGAGTATAAAATTCTACAGCAGCTTCAACTTCGCTTTTTCACCACACCGCAGCTCTGAACTGAGATTTTAAGCATTTCAGCTCCTGGAAATAGATGTGCAGCAGGTGGATGAGAGAAGTTCTCGACGTATCAACTCTTAGTTGCAGTGGTGGGCAATTGAAACCTTAGAGAATTGCTTTGAGAACCTGGCATCATTTTAGGTCGTACCAATCACAGATTTGGATATATTATTAGAGGGTCGCGAGAAGACCAGCTGTTAGTACACACAGGGGTTGTGAAAGCGCAGCTTTATAGAGAAGAGGAGAAGATGAGGGAGGAAATGGCCTCTCGGCAGTCGAGCTCGACAGTGAAGCAGGATTTAGCTAAGCTAAACACGGATGGTGACACCCGGAGTATTGCGCTGAAGTCCCTGAAGCTATTTGTGGAGCAGCTGAACGCATCCACCTTGCCTCGGTTCATATCTCAGGTAATATTAGTCAGTTTTCAATATCCTCTCGAAGTATCCTTGGAGTCAGCATCTTCAGACAGTCACATCGGAGACTTCGAACGTGACCACGGTGTGCAGTCGTATTACTCTCGAAGGGTTTGTATGAAACTCCTGCGTAGAATACGGGATCTTGTAGATAGAGTTGAAGCAGAGTTGTTACAGTGAATTACGCGCTCAACCATCTCTCTCCTGATGTTTAATTCTGTACATTGAACAGTGTTTCGGAATCATACTCTGTCGTCAAATTTGACTCGGTTCTTTCAGCGAAGATGCATCTATTCTCATCCAGTCTTACTGGTCAACACAGATTGCAGAATCACGGGAACCCGCAGGAACGCGATCTTACACCATTTCCTTGTATGAGGAGGTCGCAAGGGTGCACGGCAAGCTGGTTATACCTCATATTTCTAAGATAATGTCCGCTTTGGTTAAATTCTCGTCTGCAAGTGGAAGCTTTCCTCAACTGCAACTTGCTTGTGCAAGAGTTACAGCTGCCATCGCTCGGTATAGCATCGACTCTGACACCTTCCAAGAGGACGCGGAGAAGATAATACAGGAGATTTGTGGTCCGCTGACTGATGCTCTTGCAGCGAAGTTGGAGCCTGTGGCAGCCAGTGCAGCTGCTTGCATTCATGCAGTCGTTGAAACTGAACTATGGAAGTACGCACAAGATGAGATTGTTCACGAAGTGTGTCATCGAACAGCGGCAGCGTTAAATGAAAAATCAACTCGAACGGTAGCCCACATGCAGCTAGTATACGTTTTAGCATCAACAAACCCTGACGCTCTTAGCATCCATGGAGCAAGCTTGTTGAGGGCCGGTGAGGACACTTTGAAGGAGACGGCGAATTCATGGCAACTTCGCAAGAGCGCTGCCAAGCTGCTCCAGTCGGTGCTCACAATCCTTGATAAGGAGTCACTCGAAACGGAGCTCCACTCAGCATTACATGTGTGTTGAAGCTCTTTCTTCTGGACATCTTTTCATGTGTGATTTACTGATTTGTGATTCAATTACACCCACAATGGTATGTGGATGGATGGCATACCCTAATTTTTTCTGACGTTGTGAAGGTCCTGGAAAGCTGCCGAATCGACAAGATGATACACGTAAGGACAGCTGTTAGTGAGGCGCTCAACATTGCAAAGATGTTATCATCTGGAAACGAGACCGACAAATCATTGGGTGTGGCTGCAGAGCGTAATGGTCCGAGTTCTTGGTTGAGCGAAGACACGACTCCTTTCTCTCCAGTGTCGACGCGGGGTACTAGTCCAAAGGCTTCAATGGGTCCCAGGGCTTCAAGGGCTATCTCTCCTTCTCTGGTTCCGAGGCGGGGCACAGTAAGTCCGAGAGCCTCGATGAGTCCAATTAGGGCGGGTACAATCAGTCCAAGAGCCTCCATGAGCCCAATTAGGGCGGGTGCAATCAGTCTAAGAGCCTCCATGAGCCCAATTAGGGCGGGTACAATCAGTCCAAGAGCCTCCATGAGCCCAATTAGGGCGGGTACAATCAGTCCAAGAGCCTCCATGAGCCCAATAAGGACGAGTGCAATCAGTCCTAGAGCATCTATGAGCCCAATTAGGGCGGGCACAATTAGTCCAATAGCCTACTTGAGTCCAATTAGGGCGGGTAGAAGCAGTCCGAGGGCTGCCGGTCCGGGCCTGAGAGCTTCCAGCCCAAATCTGAGGGCAGCAAGTCCAAATTCTCAAGAATCACGCCGTTTGTTTTATTCATCTGCTTCAACATCAACTTCAGACTCTGTGCAGATTCCATCTGGCCGAAGCAATGACAGGTCAAGGGCAAAACGAGCACCTCTTTACCCTCCCCGAGGCGTAAATTACGCCCATTCACCCCGATCTACTGGCACTCCAGTCACATCTCCTTCGAGCTCTACCACCACCATCGAAGAGTGCGAGTCACCATCACGTAGATGTGAGAATTCCTCCTTCCTACACAAGGTTTATGTTGTTAATCTTCCTACTCAAGCTATTACTCGTCAAGAATTTTCAGGGTTCACGGTTCATGCCTTGGGTGGTTGTCTGCACCTTTACACTGCTGGTTTTAGCTTTTTAATGTCGTGAAAACATATAACATCGTATATTACGTATGCTGAATAGTGCGCCGAGTATTTCTGAGTTTGATTTCCGATGACCACTGGGATATTGAATGCTTGCCATGACTCCATGGTTTGCAGAATGCCTGTCGATTTCAATTGATAAACTTCCTTAGGGCGAATTTGTACAACTTAGGAAACATTCATGCCCTTACCTCCATCTTTGACATGTGCTCTGCCATGTGCACAGTGTTGATTGCAAATGAGATTGTTCGGTCACGAAGTACGGGCATTTATCCAGACGAACACGCAACTAGGCGTGGCGGCAAGTATTTGCGACCGCCGGCTCCTTTGATCTCGGTTGCATCTACTCCCCTCTTGCCCACTCAGCTTAATGCACTAGGCGTTGAATTTCAAGATTCAAAAGAAGCTCAAGTTTCAAAAGACTTTGAGACTGATTCAACCGATTCAAAGGACGCCCAGCAGGAGAGCCCAAGCTTGCCTTGGTTAAAGCTGGAGGGCACGAACAGCTTGGATCAATATTCCGGACTTGAGCTTGCAACCGATGACAGAGCGCCAATGTCAAGTGCTTTAAGCACTAGCATGGAAACGAGACGGACTAATGTGGGATCTGCAAGAGATGCTCCCAACGCGGATGTTGAAGTGGAAAAGCGCGAGGTTTTCACAAAAGACGCACCTGTCCATGCTCAAAGTTCTGCAGCAGCTGGAGCAGAGGTCGATACTCTCAAAAATTTAGCTCGTCTGAGCGCCAACTTGGAAGAGGTGAGGAAATTCTGAATTGAGCTCTGGAGATTTAGTTTAGCGCTTTTGCTTTCTAGGTCATCTTCTCAATTATTTTTGGACTCCAGGTGCGTAAGGTTGGTTTACTGATTGACAAATCTTGTGTTTTTTCTTTGATCTGCAGAAGACCAAGTCACTTTGCATGGCAAAAGATTTCATCTCGTTCGTTCCACCCATGCGGCTTGTGCGCTCTCTGTCGAGTCTCTCTGACCGTGAGTCGGGAGGAAGTTACTATGAACAGGATATGAGGCTGTCTCAGGATTACTTGTTCAGATCTAACAACACAGATGCAGCCGAATTGGACGCCGAGACGTCAAGCGAGGCAGGATGGAGCGTTCGTAACAACCCAATTGCATCTGAAGTGTCTTACATATCTGATAGTTCTGACGATGAGTTTGACGAGCGGCGTAAGGCAGATGATTTTCCCAGACTTCGCAAGGTAGCCTCTCTCGATGCTACTCCTCGCGAGATTCACATGATCTCACCGGATCCTAAAGTGTCCTGGACATTCGACGACGGAGCAACATTGGACCTCGCTGACCGTGCTTGCAATCCTGAAGAGGTCCACGACGCATGTCATGTACGTCCTCCATGCGTTTTGACCGAAGCAAATACTACACCGTGCAAACTGCTGGACCCAATTCAAGCTAAGGACATGGATGGCGAGAAGCCGGCTGCGACAAACGGATTATGGGATGTGGTTCACAAAGACAATCAGTATAACCACAACATTTGTGAAGATGCTACTAAAGAATTGAACTGTAACAACGCTTCTCCCATACGATTGCAAAATCAGGTGGATCAAGGCGAAAGCGGATGTTACACTGTTCGTACTGTGAAAAAACACTGGAAAAGATTGTGTTGGTATACGGAAGCAGTCTTGGGGGGATCTCTCTGTGTAATCCTTGCTCTTCCTCTGGCCATGGTTGCTAGCAAAGCTCTTAGTGGGTCACTCGATCTTCAGAGCCTTGTACCCACATAGTCAGACAGCCATGTAGTTCGTCACACTTTCACATTTTTGTATTGTACCGAGTTTGTTGTAGCGTAGTTGTCCACGTAACAAGGGGGTGTAATATCAGTTAAATTAGCAGGTATATTTGTAGTGAAAAAGTCAACCGACTTACCGTGGAATTAGAAATGTGATCAATCTGGGAAGTTCGTTGGGGATACATCTAAGATTTCTTGAGCATAGGATATTAGTCGGCAGTTGTGCCAAAATTGTAAAACATTGTGCTAAATGTAGTTTACTGTGCTTGTTTTCGTTAGGAATTCCTTTGTATACTCTGCACGTATGAATTTACCAAGTGGACAGTGGCAGACCCCATTTCAAGGAGTATTTATCAATCCCAATTGACACTCCAATTTAAATATCAAGAATACCCATGTACTTTTTATAATAGCAAATATACCCCTCATTTTTGTCATATTTGCAAATCTATCTTTGAGCTTGATAAGATATAACCTTATTCCCATTTTAGATGAATTTGGGGCACAAACCACATGCCTCATAGATTTTGGTGCAATACTATTTTGCATAAGTTGGGCCCCCTATAAATTGGTTACCAACATTGCCGCCACTGATGCTACCATGGCAATATTTCTAGCAACTCTATATGGTACTAGCTCGCATACTCTAGGACAAAAGATAGAGTGTAGAGAGGCGACTAATTGCAATCGACTTCTTTTAGTTCATGTTTTGTTTTCTACTAAGGATGCATAGCTTTCTAAATTGCATCTTTAGCAAGTGGTTCAAGCTAGAAGCTAGTATAAGCAAAATTAGATTACTACTTGAAGACCATCTCAAGCTAATTCAATATTTGGATGCAGATAGAGAGAAAAGTGCTCAAGTAGAAGCACAAAAGAAGATCTTGTTCACGGATAGAGAATTCCATATGCACATGACTTCAAGCTAGAGAGGTATTTAATTTTTTATGTTAGAACAAGCTTTGAAAGATAGTATATACTTGAACCAAAGAAAATATATTCTAATTGTCTTTTGTTGATCATTATGGTATTTAAGGACATTCAAAATGGAGTTTCCATATATATATATATATATATATGCATTACATTTGTTTTTTCTTCAATATGAAAACTTCTCAATAATGTGACAATCAATTGCTTGATAATAGCAAAGTTAGTTAACACTATGTAGAAAAATACTAAGGTTCTATATGTTAGCTAAAACATAAGGAAAGCATCCAAAGATAGGCCATCACAATAAAAACGAGTTTGCATTGTTTATAAAGCAAATATGTTTGTTAGAGAAATACTGACTAGTGACATTGTGCATGTGAGACAACAGATACAGACACTCTTGAAAGAACTTTGGTGTTTCAATGATGTTCAAATATCCTACAATTTCAAAAGCAAATCTTTAATGAATATTGATAGTAGAATTTTTCCTACAAACTTCTTTTGTAATTTTAAGAAACAAATGCTCATAAACTAGTTTAAAACAAGCACCAATTACTTGATCCTATATCATTGATTGTTTCTATATCATTTGCATGCCTTGATTACAAAGTAAGAAAAAATTTCATGGCTCAAACTTTAGTTCACATCCTTACAATTTCAACTTGTGATAGATTTCTTTATAAAATATTTTTTGGTGAATATTTGAAAACTAATTTGGATCATTATTTTTAGATATTAAAATTCAAACACCAAATCATTTGGTTTGATTAAATTATTTTTTTTATAGAAGAAAATATTTAAATCAATTTATTTATATACGTTATATTACATAGATAAAATCCAAAAATAAAAATAAATAAACAAATAAATAAAAATAAAAACATTCTTATAAATTGCACTTTGTCCTTGGCCTTAGAATAAGCGAGCTTGTACAGTAAAGAGTTGTTAGAAGTATTACCATGGTAACGGCAATGACATCTGATTTGTGAGGGCCCCACTTGTGCAAAAAAGTGTCATACTAAAATCTACACATCATGTGATTTGGGCCCCAAATTCACCTAAAATAGGAATAAGATTATATCTTATCAAGCTCAAGGATATATTTGCAATTATCACAAAAGAGAGGGGTATATTTCTAATTATCAAGAATATAAGAGTATTCTTAATATTTCAATATATTTCAGGAGTATATATGATATTTTTCCTTTTCTTTTTGAATATACAAAGTTTTCAATCAGATTTTCTACACATGCCATGCTTGTCTAAAAACTCTTGTGACAAGATTTTAATAAGCACAAAGTGACTAGATAAAAATTTCATGAATTTATAGTCTAGTTACACTTGTAAGAGCATTAGCCAACAAATTGTCTTTGACACAAACAATACAAACTCTTCAAATTGGTGAAGAATCTACAATAAATATTTTGATATTGAGATTTTGGATTTAACCTACTCATCCAATCCAATTCAAAACATTGAACATCTTAATATAGAAAAACAGAACTAATAGTATCAAACTAGTTGGGTTTTGGATTTTTAACCTTGTTCTTCATTGAGGGAGGTTAAATGTAAAAGAGATGCAACTATGTGTTCACTTACATACAAATCAAATCCACATATTATGAATATTTTTTGATTTTAATAATTCTAAAAACATAATTTTTTTTTGTGTTTATTTGATAGAAGGGATTCTTGAGTATTTAGTTTTTTGTGTTTGTTTGATAAAGTTGTAAACTTGTTGATTCTTCAAATTTTAAAGAAAAAAAAAAAAATATATATATATATATATATATATATATAAATTTATAATTTAATTTCTATTTTTAAAATTTAAAAAATAGATTATAAAGAATACTAGGTTGAATATCTTATATATTTATAAGTTAAAATATTAAAATCTTTCTATTTTAACATGTGAACTAAAAAATATGAATTCTTGAAAGGATTACAAACAGTAGAATTAGTATTTTAAATCATTAAATTAGTTAATAATTAGGGAAAAGACTGTGTGTTTAGGAAGATCAAATAGAAGTAGCATACAATAATTGCAGCATGAGGAAGTAGACTTTCATGTAACACCAGGAGTAAGTAGAAGTGACCCCAAGCCTGAAATGCATTAGCTCAGGCCTAAGACTTGATGATATACAGAAAAATGTGGTAGGAGTTCACTAACCATCATATCGCACCAATATATGTGATGTTTGCATGTTCGGTTGCAAGATGATTCATTGCCAATGTTAAAAGAAAGGTAGTCAAGAAACCTATTCAATACATCACTGAATTGAAGTAGACTTGGTTTTAGAAGATATTCTCAGTCGACACAATATATTGGACACAAGGAGATATTCAACATGTTCGGCACTCTATCGAAATGTCAAAATGAACCTCTTAGAATTTACAAAAAAGAGATCCAGGAGAGTCCACAAGAAAATGAATTCAGTTTGGAGCAGAAATTGCTTAATACATAATTATGATCTTTGTTTGCCATGGTGAGGAGGAGAGTGAGATTGAAGAGCTATGACAATTGCAGTGCCATTTGACAACCCCCTGTGACCAGTCTTGACACAAACAAGGGCACGGATAGCATGCATCTAAAAGCCAAGCCATATTCTTACAAAAAAAACAGATGGTGATGCAAATTGCTTCAACGACGTTAAATCTAAACAGCTACAGGATTAGATCAGAGGATTTGACTACAACGGAACCATACTCAGATACAGTTTGCATTCAAAATTGTCCTCAAGAGCTCACATGCATAAATTGAATATGGAAAGAATACAGGCAGAGGAAAATCCTCAAACCGGTGACCATTTTGTGATGCCAGATTTAGGGCTGTGACCACCAACATTCCAATTGATTGGAAGCTGTGAATGACAAAGAAACGTAAACAAACACTAAAGGAAAACTGCGCATTAGCAACGTTATCCAATTGAATCATATAGTGTCAAAAGAATGAAGACTTCTCCTAAAAATGAGGCGCCTAGTTACGCCCCGACATTCTCAAACGCCATCGCTTGACACTACCCAAGCACTTAGGCAAGCTTTCCACTGTTGGGGTTGGTCTTTGGCACGAGGTTCTTGCGGCCCTTGGCGCGTCTCCTCTTCAAAACATTCCTCCCGGTCGGTGTAGCAGTGCGAGCACGAAAGCCGGAGACTCGTGCAATCGACTTCCGCGACCTCGAACGCTTAGTACACCCCAAGCAGGGGCTGCCAGCTCTCACGACCAGAGGGAGCCCTCTCTTCACGATTGGGAGTCCGAATGAGGTCGACCTCAGAGCCACTCCTGCATCCAGGAACAACGAGCCCACACATGTGTAAGCGATTCCATAATTCTCCTCCTCACATTCGACATCGTTAGAATAGTGCATGAATTTGAGCCAGAAACTACAGTTGCTGTGTAACGATTGCGAATCCAGAGAGCTTCAGCCATTTCCCAGTCAATCCACCACCTATGATAAAAATCGATTATGTGCATAATTCCCGCCTAGGAAGATAAGAAAGAAAGAAAAAGAAAAAGAAAAAACACATTACCATTGCCAGACCTAATTTAGACACCCTTTGGTGTTAAGCTTAAACCCAAACCCCAAGCTACCTTTGATCTTCGATTATGGTCTACTCGGCTCTCACGCCATCTACATAATGTTCAATACCACCTGCAAGAGAGAATTCGGAACATGCCTGCAAAGTGAGACGAGGAGAAGGACGACACCGCGCGGGTGGCGGTGAATGAGGATGCCAAGCTGCAGTGAGCGGTGCTGCTGGAGGAGAAGAGCTTTACAGCGGAGCTGGAGCCGAGCGAGAGGGCGGCCATGGAGGCGGAGAGCGCCATCGCTACCACGGCTGCTGGAATTGGATTGAATTGAATGCCCTCGCCCACGCACAACGAGACGATCGATGCTCGCAAATGAGTGAGGAATTCGCGTGACGGGAGAGAGAGTAGAACTTGCGGCGTCGAACAATACCTGCCTTATCTGTGTCGGCGAGTGCCAGCCACAGCTGCCCCTCCCTGGACTCAATACCCGGGAGCAGGATCATAACCTGTCAGATGTCTATATCCGGTTGTGAATGACGACCTTGATGTGTGGAACCGACAGCGGGTCTCAGGGGAACCGAACACAATGTGCGGTCTACTTAATAGCCTGGTTAAACTATGGAGTGGAATCCTGTTTTTGAGAAATGATTTGATGTGTGTGTTTAGGAAAATTCTTGTTCAGAATTGGGTTTTGGTGCTTTGCCATGTTCGTTTGTTTGGAGTTTTTGTGAACTCTGAAAATTTAAAACCTTTTGTTTTTTGGAGAAAGTATGAAAGTAATATAAAAGATTGAAAATTAAATATTTTGAGTTAAATATGATTTTAACTTTAAAAGTAATAGAATTTCTTTGCATTAAAATTCTGATATCTCTTAAATAAATACATTTCAAATGTATTCGAGTTTAAAATATTAGCAAAATTAGACAAATTTAGTTTTTGTAGATGTCCACATGGGAATTTCCATATATATTTTTATAGATATTCTCATACTTACTTGCATTCTATCACCTTTGCCATTGTAGGTATTGGTAGCTTAATTTTGTTTCCATATTAAATTCAAAGTCTTCAAGGAAATTATGAATATGTTTTACAAAACCTAAAATGTTATTTAAAAATTAAAATATTAATCTTAATAAAAATGCTCATCTAGCATTCAAATTAATACTGAATATGTTGACATAGAAGCCCATTTTTAAAAATCAAAGTTTAAAAGCCTTATGAAGATCTCCCATTTTGTGAAGAAAGAGATGTTTATAGACCTTTGAATATAGAATAAAACACAAGGAGGTAATCATACAAACCAAATTATTCTACTATTTTGATCCTAAATATGGTAACTTATATCTTAATCGTGAAATTATGACAAACATCAAGATTACGATTTTAAAAAAGAAACAACAAATTATATTGGAAATCTAAATTAAACTTCTTGATCTTTGAAAAAAAAAAAAAAAAAAAAAAAAAAAAACTTTTCCAAGTGGGTCTGATACAAATTCCAAGAATCAATATTATTCATGTTATGTAGAAGAAAAAAAAATGAATTCTATCATTTCTTTTCTTTTTCTTTCATGTATTTTCGACTAAAATAATTTAAGTATAAAACCAGCTAATTTTTATTTATTTATTTATTTATTTATTTTTAATAATATAGATCAACCACAAGTTTTGAAAATTACAACCTCTTATCTTATCTCCTAAATCTAAAGACCTCTTGAATTGCCGCTTAAAATGTTTTTTTACTACATGTTTTTTTTACATTTGGACACTCTGATTTATTTAGTTTTATTATTATTATTTTGATAAATAGGCATGTATGTATATATTTCTATATTTATTTATTAAAATCTTTAAAATTTTAAAGAGATGAATATGTGAGGAATATATATAGATATATATATATATATAGATATATATATCTTTGATGTTAATAATAATAATCATAATAATGATTAACTATTATAAATCATCCTAAGTAGACAACATTCTTAATTTATTACTTAAATGGAATAGATATAGAATTTTGGATATGAAAATCATTGTTTTACTCTCAATCAAATCATTAATATACTTCAAAAGTGAACTGAAAGTAATTGATCTAATAGTATGAATATTATTCTTAATAATAACATCCCATACTTTTGTTGAAAAACAATTTAAGAAATCAATACTGATAATTTGAACCGATTTTTTTGTTTACTAGTGACTTCAATGCATATTAACACAAGTGCATCTAAAGTTTTGATTTCTATTTCCTCACAACCTAAGTTTAAACCTTTACAAAATATTGTGCATTAAAAATCACATTATATGCACAAGGTTATATTATGTGTGGTAAGTTCAATAATTTTAATAATACATTAGTTTGTAAAAGATACACACATCCATACATACTATCAAGGACATGAACAAAAAGATGATGCATAAACCAATAAAATCCGTGTCAAAGAAAGAGTGAAAAAATAAAAATAAAGAAGTACATATATTAAAAGAAACTAGAAAGGCTTATTGCCAAAAGACAAGAAAACTTGAGACTCTTGAAACTAGACTAGAAGCAAGAAAGGAGTTGACAAGAGTGAAGAAAGCTTCACTCTTGTCTCTATATATACTATCTAACTAGAGGCTACATGGCGATGTTCTATAGGACTTCCAATATATATTGACTTTGTAGGACACATGCCTTGATTTATAAGACAAGTTTTTCTATATATGGGCCACATAGTTAGCTTGGTCTTCAAGTTAATAACATGTGTGGTATATGGCCAACTTATTGACCACGTTTTTAATCCAAAAAGTTAATTAAAGACACCTATAAAATCAAAGCAGCATCTATAAAGCTTCTAAGAAGCTTCCATATCAAATAATATAGAATTAACTTACTTTTATCTACTTCTACTTATTTCTATCTATTTATACAAGTAATTAGTAGCTTACATGCATATGTCGGTGACATTATCTCCTCTTCTAGGAACGAGTTCCACGAGGAGTGGTCATCATATGTTGAGAAAATCTATGATGTGACAAATTATATTTGCCACATACCCAGATCTTTGTTCTCTTTGAGGATGGTTGATAGGGCCTTTCAACCATCGATAGTGTTCCATATCAGAACAAGAAGACCACCCAATTATTTGATCATTGTTGAGGCCTTCATAACTTCCTTCAAATAAAATATTTGGAACACCGTCACAAATTGTTCTTACCTCTAATAAAATTACCAAACATCGAGAGTCTCTTCCAAGGTCGTGATACCAAACGCATTGTATCTTGTCATCTATTTGAGAAAAAACACGTCGTTTTTGAGGATCTTCATCTCGATTATGTTATCTTGAAGGTTGTGATAATCGCAATGTCTCATCTGGTAGGTTAGCAAACAAAGGCTCTTCAGTTGAATCTGTTGGTTGTTGATTTTCCATCTTCTCAACATTACAACTGAAAAAAAGCTACAAACAAGGATTAAAAGTAGAATGTTATCTTACCTAAATCTTGTTTCTTTTATAAGGAGGTTTTCATCTTGATTTTGATAGATGTCGTTGATGAAAAGCGTCCACCGCCTTTGTTGCATTTGCAAGATTTTTTACTAGCTTCCATGTGCATTCACTAATATTATATTTGCACCAATAGACAAGATATTCTAACTTATTTTGGCACCGCCTTGAATCTAGGACTTCTTCCGCTTTGAACTCTTCATTATTTTCCACTTCTATAGAAAGAGGTCGAACTTCTCTTCTTCTTGATATGTCCATTGTCTTGTATGATTTAAGAAGAGACACGTGGAATACTAGATGGATTTTCATTGACTTTGATAGTTGTTCCTTTTGATAGACATCTGCATTGATCTTTTGTTGTTCTTGAGCTTCTTTTAATTGTGCCCTTATTGTTGTATGTAGCTTTGTTAAATGATTTATCAAATCTTTTGCCGTAGGATTATTAGCTTTTGAAAAGTAAAAAGTATCAAATCATGGATGATAATCATAATTAGCAAAGAAAGGTGTTTATTTTGTAGAAGAATGTATCATGTTATTATATGCAAACTCTGCCAATGGCAAAAGAGTTGTCCAATCATCTTATTGGTAGTTGATGGTACATCTTAAATACTACTCCAAAACTTGATTAACATGCTTCGTTTGTCCATTAGTTTGAAAATGAAATTCCAAAGATAGTTTTATATCCACTTTTAAAATCTTAAAAAGAGTTTACCAAAATCTTGATATAAACTGAGTTCTCCTATCCGATATGATATCCTTGAATAATAGATATTGTCAAAAAATAGCTTAGCTATTTCTTTACATGTGATAGATTTTGTACATGGTACAAAATATGCCATCTTGATAAAAATAATCTACTATCATGAATATAAAGTCATAAGAACCTGAGATTGGAAGATCCGTGATAAAGTCCATAGAAACAGAAGACGATGGTTGTTCTGGAATCGATAATGGTTGAAGAAGTTTGTAAGGTCGATGACAAGGAGTTTTTGATCTCGAACAAATGTTGCATGATTGAACAAAATCTTTCACACCCTTTCACATTTGTGGCCACAAGAAATCTCTAGATATAAGCTCTAAAGTCTTGTTGTATCCAAAATGTCATGCTGTTGGAAAGTCGTGACGTACTTGAAGAATACATAATCAAGCTTCTCCTTTTAGAACATATAATCGACCTTTAAAATAAAATATGTTGTTTTTGAATTTAAACTTAAAAGTATCTTGAGGCTTAGAAGAAAGATTCTTGATATTGTAAACAAGAGGATCAGAAGATATACTTGATTGGATTTATTCCACAAGGATTGAATCAACAATCAATGTTGATTTTATTATTCAAAGATGAAAATGCTCTTGCTTCAAGAGAATTGTTCTTTGCTGATCAAAAGATGCATCTCCTTCTTTTAATGCAAAATAAGAAAGGGTGTTTCATAAACCTTGTTATTTTTTGGGTCGATATGTGATCTTGAAATCAAATCTTGATAAGGACATGCTCAAACGGACTTGGCCACAATTCAAAATACGTATTGACATAAAGTACTTGAGATTCTTGTGGTCCGTATATATGGTGACAAGATTGGAAATGCATTCTAGATAATGATGCCATTCTTGAAATGAATCCATGATTGCAAGAAGCTCTTTGTCATGGATTTCATAGTTAATCTCGACTATTGAAAATTTCTAGAATGAAAAGCTACTAGGTGAACTTTATCATCTGCTCTCATTTGTGATAATACGACATCCAAAGCAAAATCTAATGTATCTATTTCCATAAAAAATGCCTTAAAAAAGTCAATATAATACAAGATTGGTACAAAAATAAAGGTCGACTTCAAAGTTTCAAAAGATGCTTCAACTTCTTTGTTCCACTCAAGTTTATCTTTGCAAGTCAAACGTTTAAGTGGGGCTGCAATTCGACAGAAGTCTTTGATGAAGATCCG